CATTGAAGCCGAGGTGCCACTCATCGTTGCAGTTGCGGAACACATTCCATTGCATGATATGATGAGGATACATTCGATGCTGCAGTCGCAGTCCAAGTCGCGGCTCGTGGGTGCCAATGCCCCTGGTATCATCTCTGCTATTGGGAAATGCAGGATCGGGTTCCAACCACTCCCAACGTTCTCTCCTGGGCACATCGGCATTGTAGCAAAATCTGGCACGCTCTCATACGAGACCGTAGGATCTCTAACGCGAGCTGGTGTTGGTCAGAGTCTATGCATCGCAGTAGGAGGTGACGTGATCGCTGGGACCAACTTTGTCGATGCCTTGAAAGTTTTTGAGCATGACGAAGATACCAAAGCTATCATCATCGTCGGCGAACTAGGCGGTACAACAGAAGAGGAGGCGGCGGACTGGATCAATGACTACAAGAGGCGTGTCAAGAATCCGAAACCTATTGCCGCTGTGATTGGGGGATTCGAAGCGCCGCACGGAAAGGTAATGGGTCATGCAGGCGCGTGGGTCGGTCTGGGAGAAGGCACTGCGGCTTCAAAGTACAAGGCGCTTGAAAATGCCGGTGTAACTATGGTGGATCATCCTGCTAAATTTGGCGGTGTGATGAAGGATATTCTTGCAAAGGCCGGTGGCAATGTGAAGAAAACTGTATGTTCGAAGTTGAGAGAGACCGGGTATCGAGACACTGACCGCGACTAGGAACAATCCGCCGCTCAACAACGCCGCTCATATCATACTTCAAACTTCACACGGAGACTTGACTTTTCCGCTAGACCGTCAATCGTGCCTCAACAAAGACGTACTCTCCATCTCACCCGAGACCAATCTACAAACCTCCTCAAAGAATACAAGATGAACTTAACTGTACCACCTGAGGGCTCACCGTCAACACATTACCTAGGAATCTCCCCCAATCGCTCAGCCCGCAGTCCTTCAATCATCGCATCACCCACCGCAAATGCTTCCACACTCAACCAACGCGTCCGTCGCTTTCCCTTCGACTACCGTGCAGGCCCCAGTTCAGAGACCATCCAAGCCGCAATCGCACACATGCAACTCGACGCTGCACCACCTAAAGCTAAAGCCCAAACAGTCGAATTGATTAAGAATCTCTGGAAGCTATACAAAGAGAAGGAAGCCATAGACACCCATGTCAAGCTCGCTCTGTCTGTAGAGAGCGACGAGATGCTTGTCTACGAACCATACCTGTTCTTCGACGACGCAGCGTTCAAGTCAGGAAAACGACAAGCTGATCTTCACACTCTACGCGATCAAGCCTCCGTTTCAGCTACAGATCGGGAAGCAGAAGAAGCGGGTATTGTTTACATACCCTTGGGCTCTCCTGAATTTCCTGCTGGCACTACTCAGGCAGGGACTCAAACGCCACCGTCCTCTACTACCGAGGAAGGACCGCGAAATCTGATTGGTACTCTGGTCAACGGTGCTGGACTCGCGTTAAACACGGTTGATACGCTTTCTCTGCGTCTTTCTCAACCGCCTTACTCGACTTCTGCTGCCAACTTCCTCGACACGGGTGGCAAGGCGACGTCCGCCACTATCAAGACCTCGTTTAAGCTCATCCTATCTGATCCCCGCGTTTCCGTCGTCTTTGTAAACATCTTTGGAGGACTGACGTTGTGCGACATGATCGCCGAGGGAATCATAATGGCTTTCAAGGAGATTGGAGTAGAGAAACCAGTCGTCGTTAGATTGAGGGGAACAAATGAAGAGAAAGGACAAAAGGTGCTGGAAGAAGCTAAACTGCCCATTCATGCATTTGACGACTTTGAAGAGGCAGTCAGGAAGGTTGGAGAACTGGCTAATGCTAGAGGATTGTAAATGTCATCACTGCACACGCAAGATGATCTCTGACATCACGGGATCGATAGTATGATTGACAACAATGAGAATTGGGGGATATCAGATTAAAATGCTCTACTGTTGACCACCCGGACAACCTTTTCTCCATTTGAACACAGAACGAGTGTTGCCGCTCCCACCTCAGAACAAGTTCCTTTCCTTCCAAAGGGAGCCAGCCACCAATGTCCTTCATGCAATAGCGTACAAGCCTCCCGGACGCCTGTATAAAAGATCAGAAAAATTTGGGTGTTGGTATCTGCGAACAAATCGAAGTGAAGTAAAGCACATGGAACTCAATCGCGCGAGGGAGAGCCTCCAAATACTCAAAACATGCGCGAGACCGTATGGTGTAAGAAAGAAATAGCACAGCATAATGATCGGCTTATACAAAGTATTGGAAGGCGGTGCTGTATTTCATTAGTTGTATGCCCAATATGGAGTTTGTTTAGTGAAGACTTACCCGATAATTGCCATGACACCTACGCCAACCAGCGCTCTCCGTGTAACCTTCTCCTTGGTCATCTTCTGCTCGGTTGTGTATGCAACCTTTGCAAGTTTGCTCAAGCGCTCCTCGGCGAGATCTTCAACGTCCAAGACATCTTCAATTCCACGCTTTGTCGACTTGGCGACCTGCGATGACGATGCGCCATCTAGCCTTTGTGCTTCTGCGACCATTCGCTTGGCCTCTTCGATCATGGCGGTAGGGTCTTCCGGCTCAGGAAGTGCGGCGTGGCTGTGTGGGACATCGACAGTGACATTAGTGCTCGTCTTTTCGGTGTCGCCATTAGTCTCAACAGTCTGCTCGACTTCAATGTGAACGGTGCCCTCTTTGACATCTGGCTCTGTCTTCTCGATCGCCACCTCTTTCTCCTTGACCTCGCCATCGACAGATGATGCGACTGACTCAGAAGGTGTCGCGCCGTTGGCAATGATAGTTTGCAGAGCACTCGATGGAGTAACGACCTCGTCAGCCTTGGTGAGTTCGGGCTTCATCGCACTTCTTGTGGATCGTGACTTGCGTGGGGTCGCAAACTTTCGGCTGGGGGTTGCTGCGCCTCTGCTAGGTGATACAGATCGAGCCGAGCGCGCGCGCGTTGTGCGAAGGCCAGGTGCGGGGAGAGTCGCAGGTGTGGCGTTCGCGACGTCGAATTTAGGAGGCATCTGAATGTGGGTGTTTGATTTATCCTTGTTGCCTTTCTCGATCGGCGCGGGGTCCAAAAGTGCCTCAATCCAATGACGCATAGAGTATTCGTCAGACAGTGCGAGAGCTATATGACATTTCTGTTAGCGCGAGGTTCTGGGTAAAGGTAAAAGTAAGTCACTTACCCTCCTCAGGCGCAATCCACACGCTTCCGGCGACCTCTTCGGCGCCCGCGGAAGGGAACGTCTTTTGGTACTTGCGCTCCATTTCCTCCTCTGCGAGGGAGGCCCAAGGGAACGCAGCCTTGAACATGCCTGTGGCACTGATATAGCCGTCGCTGCTGCGTCGCTGTTTGTCGCGTTAGTCGGATGTCTGCGCCAGCTGCCATGGCTTCTTTTCATCGCGTACCATCAGGAAGTAAGATTCGGGGAAAGCCGAGGTCTTGTTCAATGTAAAAATGCCGGATCCTGTCAGGTCCTTTGGCAATGGAACCCTCAAATGCGCGTAGTCGAACGTGCCCATGTTCTCCGGCTTGGTCGCATTGGTAAGGCCACTGACGCCGGGCTTTACACCGAGGTTTGTCTGTCCTAGTCGACGTCTCTCGATGAGAATCTCGACTGCGCACAACTGTTAGATGGCTAGCTGAAATAACGCGATGCAACGTGTACATACCGGCCGTGGCATCGGTGGGCTCGAGGAGAGGATTCTTCCTCTCGGGCAGGTTGCGATGGGAAACCATGGTGGTGATGTTGCGGGTATGTATTAAAGTTTGATCTGATGTGCGCGTAGAAATAGAACGCGTTTTGGCGATATGTGAAGCGCGCAGCGCAAAGGCGGTTGCGTGAAGTTTCGGAGCGGGTTTGGACTACGTATGACGCGCGCAATCGTCAGTAGCAATGTACTGGCGGACCGGGTCGCGCGACGGGTGAAAGCAGCTGAGCGTCGATTCGTGAGGGAACGGCGACGTGGCGAGAGGGAGTGAAAGCGCGCGATCGACGTGATGAAAGATGCTGCGATGCGACGGGGACAGGAAGGAGCGACGGGTGTGCTATCCCTGTGCACTAGCGCTCCCAGGAAGATGACGCCCAGCCACCCCGGACGTGTCTGCGCGAACGCAAAAAGTTTCGCGACACCCTTTCTAGTGTATTTGCCATGCTTGTGTTGCTTGCCGATTGGCTCTGCCCATATTGTCATGGCATTGCAGGCCCGATGAAGCGTCGTCTGGTCTTTCCGTGCGCTCGATTAGGAAAGTGTAGAAAAGTCACGCGTTTTGGCACTTTCTCGTGACTTTGCAGCGCGTCTCTCCTGAGCAGCAGCACACTTTCACTTTCAAACAACGCAAGCAGACAGTCCCACTCATGCGGCGCAAACTCAATTGATATGGCGTTAAAGGGGCACTCGTTGCCGCAGAATAGAGACCGGGTCCCGTGATCGTCTGGTCAAACCTCGGGGAGTATAATTCCGCAGGCGCCCTTGAGGAATCATCGAAACCGGCGCTGCGAAGCTACACACAAAGAAGCTCGTCTGTTCCAAGCTGTTCTCTTGCCCGGGCATCACCTGGCACTATCACTTTAAGCTTATATCTCCGAGACGGGATGCATACGCTACCACGCATAGCGCTAACCACGTCACGAAGCTCACTGACAAGGCGTGTCGGTCTGGCAGAAGCTCCAATCCTTGGTCGCATTCCACACGAACTTGCAGACGTAGTTGGCCGATTCAAAAAAAGAACAAGCGGGGTTTGGTCTATGCTCGACCATGAGACAGTTCATACCTCAGGGCGCTTCTTTCTCTGGGAACAGGACCATGGTAGAGGTAGTTGTGTTGCAGCAGGAGTCTGGACAGCCTGCGGCATATCAAAGGGTCCACAGCACTGCGGCAACCAGGAACGTAGCCAATGAGGAGCTCGACTTGCTGGAGCGGTGAATGTGCCCCGCTAACCGCGAGGCTCAACACGAGGCCGCGCCCCTCACTGCTACCATTGACCCTTTAACTTCTCCACAACATTTCTTTTGCTGACTTACACCAATTCCCCAAGCTTGCACTCCCAATAAACCACTTACATCAGCCATGGCCGACCACGCAGACGACCTACACGCCGAGCAGACCGAGGGCTTCAAGGTTGGCGAGAAGAAGACGATTGACGAGTACCAGCAGCTGGGTAGGTTCCACAGTTTCTCCGAGGAGCTAATCGCCTGTATCTATAGCTAACCCGCCCTGCTACAGACCAGAACGACGAGTCTCTCCAGAAGTGGAAGAAGTCCCTTGGTCTTGGACAAGGCAAGGACATCTCCGACCCCAACGACCCTCGCCGGTGTATCATCCTCTCCCTCGCTCTCGAGGTCGAAGGCCGTGATGATATCGTTATCGACCTGCGCGCACCTGGCGCTGTCGAAGCTCTCAAGGAGAAGCCATTCGCCATCAAGGAGGGTGCTCGGTTCCGCATGAAGGCACAGTTCAAGGTCCAACACGACATCCTGTCCGGTCTGAAGTACCTCCAAAAGGTCTCACGCATGGGTGTCAGCGAGAAGCTACAGGAGATGATGGTAGGCACACCCACTACACCAGGGCATCGGGACACGAGCTAACAGTTGTAATAGGGCTCATACGGTCCCAACACAGAGGAGAAGCCATACTACGAGAAGAAGTGTAGGTACAGCCCGACAACGTCTTGCACAATCTACTGACACGCGTCCCAGTCGAACCCGAAACCGCTCCCTCCGGTATGCTCGGCCGTGGCCACTACACCGCCGTCTCCAAGTTCGTCGACGATGACAAGCAGACTCATCTGCAGTTCACCTGGTCTTTCGACATCAAGAAGGATTGGTAAACGGGGTTGCATAAGCTTGGCTAATAGGGGGAGTTATGTAGCAATGTGGCGGAAGGTGTCATTTTCTTTCGATTGGAAGCGATGGATATCCAGGGCAGCTTAGGCTCCCACGAAGTAACGAAGCGACGGCCATGTAGATGGACTCAATCAGTCCGGCTTGATGGCGCATACACGGCGAATCAAAACTGCAGGATCCTTTTACTCATGATCACTAGAGCACGTTATTGTTCACCCTTGGTCTGCGTGTGGTTGTTGATTCTCGAGGCTGTGGAAGAGAAACCACCTTGCTGCTACCCACTTGGCCCTGGTAGTGCGACCTACCCAAGCTCGCTCGCCGCTGCCAGATCCGAATCTGCGGGCTGACACATTCAAGATGGAGATTTCCTGTTCCCATGGATCCTGGGTCTGCGCTTCAGCGGAGTGCTCTGGGGGATCATTTTCCATGTCTGCGTCCTCATCATTGTGCTCGTCCGGATGCCCGCGCTTTCCCTCACACTCGACAATATGAAGCGTTACACCGGGTTTGAGCGCAACCTCGGCCGCTGCGGCAAAGCATCTAGACAGGCCTTGAGCTGAGAAGAAAGACGTGGGCGCATGTAGAGCGAGTGGATTCACCAAAACGACCCTTTCCCTTTCGTCGGCTTCGTCGGCGAGATTAGTTCCAGACCGACCATATGCAGTCAAGTAGGCTAACAAGGCTTGCACAGACGCGCAGAAGGCGAGTTTGACATGCCGTGTCGTGAGTAAGTTGTGAAGAGTGGGCGCGACCAGCTGCTCTAGACTATGCGTGTCATGACGGTCGTGATTCTGCAGTGAGCTTGCAAGGTCCTGGATGAATACGTCTCGGCTCGAGCATACGATCAGCAGCGTTGGACATGTGTCGGACTGTGTAGTGAGAAGGTAGTGAAGCAGGCCCGGAAGGGTCAACGGGTAGAGCACGGTGGGTGCTGGCGACATGACAGACGGATTACTTGTGGAAAGTTTCTCGGCTGTCATGTGTGCTGGTGCCGTCTGTCATCGGTGTACTGATTCGGGGCGGAAGGTAGGCCTTGGGGAGCGCAACCTCGACAGCCCCGACGCCAATCAGCAGTAGTACCCGCACCCTGACCACCCCCACTACTTACGTTGTCCATCCATCAGAACTCCAAGTGCATGCACGCCAGGACTTTTGATCACGACCACCAGGCCCAGAACCTGCTTCCTCCCTTGCCTGGCTCTGCATAGTCGACATCCCGTTCGTGGGCAGAGACGAAGCGCGGACCGAAGCGCTCTCCCACGCGCAAGTCGCGGTCATGGAGTCCATCAGTCGCATATCGAGCTTGCTGGAGACAGGTATGGCGCCTTTCACAATTTTCATACAGATATGCCGCCTGCTTTGTGCTCCTCTCCCCTGCGCCATTGGGCTTTTTGGACATGTAATTGCTCGGTGCCGTTGTTGTCATGCATCCCTCGAACTTCGCTCACTGGTCCCTCTCCGCAGCTCGCGACCTTACCCTCGAAGCCGCCCGCGATGCCAGCAATGTCCGCCGAGCCCCCACAAAGGAACTGCCCTCGGGCCAGCTCAAGAAGCTCCTCGACAGCAGATCAGAGCGCGATGTGCTCGAAGGACTGCGCAGAGTCGTCACTGTAGGAACACCCCGCCATGGCCTCGAGACTCCCGCATCATCAGCCCATTGGACGCTGTGGAACGTCTAGTAACTGACTACAGCCCATCTAGATGTCCTACCGCCAGCCGCCTTCGCAGACCCTCCCCTTCTTCTCCCACGTAATCAAGAATGTCGCGTCACCGTCCCTCCAGGTCAAGAAGCTCGTCTACATCTACCTCCTCCAGCATGCCGAACACGAACCGGATACCGCGCTCCTCTCCATCAATACCATACAGAAATCCCTCACCGACACGAACCCTCAACTCCGCGCCCTCGCTTTACGCGTCATGTCCAGCATAAGGGTGCCTGTCATTAGCCAGATTGTTAGCCTGGGCATCAAGCGCGGTTCTGGCGACATGTCGGCATACGTGAGGAGAGCAGCAGCTCTGGCAATACCCAAGTGCTACAGATTGGACCCTAATACCGAGCCGCAACTGCTCGAATACCTCTCGACATTATTAGGAGACAAACAGTACTTCGTAACTGGCGCAGCAGTCTCATCTTTCCTGGAACTGTGTCCAGACCGTCTGGACCTCATACACCCGCACTATCGCTCCTTGGTACGAAAGCTAGTTGATATGGACGAGTGGGGGCAGTTGGCTACATTGCGACTCATGATGATATATGCAAGAAGATGCTTTCCGCGCCGGACGAGAAAAGTCAAGAAAGCAGCCAGTGCCAGCATGAATAGTAAGACGAAACAATCGACAAAAGGCTTCTACGACTCAGAAAGCGAGTCCGATGAGGAGGAACAGGAACAGGACATGGAAGAGGTCGCGGTGCTTGATCCGGACCTTGAACTGCTACTGAAGGGCTGCCAATCGCTCCTGCAATCCCGAAATGCGGCTGTGGTGATAGCGGTAGCAAGGACATACCTATATCTTGGTACTCCGGAGTACCTGACGCAGGCCATCGGACCGTTAGTATCCCTCTTGAGATCTGCGGGTGACATCCAGCACATAGCACTGTACAACATCGTACAGGTCTGTCTGACACATCCGGAGCCATTCGTCAAGTACTACACCCACTTCCTGGTGCGATCGACAGACGCGCCACACATCTGGCAGCTCAAGCTAGAGCTGCTTACTCTGATATTCCCTCACGCACAGTTGAGGCTGCAGAGTCTAATCCTGGCCGAACTGAGCCATTTCTCGCATTCTGGCAGTCTGGATCCCGCGCTGGTCAAGGAGTCGGTGCGTGCAATTGGGCGATGTTCACAAAGCCCCGCGACAAGCCCACAGACCTCGGCAAGATGTCTGAAGTTGCTGTTGAAGCACATTGGGTCCGCTGATACTCACCTGGTTGCTGAGTCACTGGAGGTTATCCGACATCTGATTCAACGGGACCCCAACGCTCACCGGACGACTGTAGTCCGGTTAGCAAAACACTTGGATGCAGCGACCAGCCCCCAGGCACGAGCGAGCATCATATGGCTGGTTGGAGAGTTTGCGGGCATCGACCCTGAGAACAACATCGCGGCAGACGTCTTGCGCATTCTTGTCAAAGGCTTTGCGGATGAAGCTGAGCCGGCAAAACTTCAAATCGTGCTACTGGCAGCAAAGGTCTATGTACATCACTTGGCCGCAAACCCGCCTCCAGAGCCAAAAGAAGAAGAGCCTAAACCGAGTCCGTCGCTGATGGATGACTTCCAGGAAGACCAGGGCGGCTTTAGGGACGAACATCTTGAGTCGGCTCCACAAAACGAGGAACCTCAAGAGGAGAAGCCACACATTATCGAGGCACTATACAACTATGTACTCCTACTCGTGAGATACGACACCTCGTACGATCTCCGCGACCGCGCCCGCGTGTACAAGGCGCTTTTGGCGACACCAACATCGACACAACTCGCGTCGCTCTTACTTCTCGCACCGAAACCAGTACCACACATTCCGAGTCCAAGTGAAACAAGGAAAGGTTACGTGCTCGGCAGTGCCAGTCTTGTTATAGGCGACGAAGGCGGCGTCGGTGGTCTGCGAGGCTATGAAGATCTGCCTCGCTGGGTCAAAGAGGGGAACGAACCAGATCCGGCTCTGCGCGATGAGGCCATCTCAAACTCTTCTTCAACATACGTTTCCGCCTATGAGACTGCGAAGAACATGTCTGCAGCAGAAAGGCTAGACGCTGCAGCCGGTGGTAGTAGCAGGATGACACCTGACAGCATGTTGAGTCCGCGAAGTCTGAATGGCATGGGTGGAGATTCTAGTCTTGGCGGGGCGAGTAAGGCGCCGCAAAAAGAGAAGACGCTCGACGACTGGCTTGCGGAAGAAGAGGAGGAGAGCGGCAGCGAAGAGGAAACCGATGAGGAAGAAGAGACAGAGGAGGAGAGCGAGTACGAAACAGACAGTGAAGAGGAGACTGATGATGACGACGACGAAAGAGGTAATCTCATCAAGTAGTCATGAGCATGTAGATGGTATATCATACAACAAGCAGACTATAGTCGCGCCATATTCCCTCTCTTTCGCATGCTCTTCGCCTTTCCTTCTACAACCCCTACCTCCTCACCATCTAGTTCTCCTTCATCAAATACGGCTTCATCCCAAAGTTTCTCGCCGACCAAATCCGCCAACGCCAAAACCCTCGTTTGCACTGTCGCTCCATCGCGCCTGTTCTTGCCCTCCCTTCTGGAAGCACTGATCCGCTCAGCAAAGCGCCACAACGGACCGTCCGCAATGATACCGCCATCAGATCCTCTTTGCGGAGTCCACTCCTCCGCCAATTTGATAGTAGCTGGAGTCTTGCCTTTGGGTTTGGTAACAAGAATCATGCCTTCTTCTTGGAATCGTGCGTAAGCATTCTTGAGCGTTTCTTTGTTTACGGCTTCGAAGTAGGAGAGGTCACCCTGATGGTAAAGAGTCTTTCCGAGGACTTGTGCGCGGTCTTGGACTTTCTTGAGGTCCAACCAGGAGGATTTGGGTGTAGGAGTATGAAGGGGTGAGACGGGCGGTGCCAACATCATCAGGCTGATAGCACCGAGCCACGCAGCTTCAATAAATGGCCAGATGAGGAAACAATAAAAGTCGTAGTTTTCGCGTCCTTGGGTCCGTTCGGCTGGTGAGAGTTCAATAAAATCAACAGTCTCTTCCCCGAGCTCGGTTTTCGACCGTGACATAGTAATCACATCATCCTTCTCCAGTCCGTCGAGGGTTTTCGCCAAGTTGATATCCAGACCTTCGGTGGGAAAGATGAACTCTCCACGGAAGAGTTGTGATAGGAAGTGTACCTGCGCGCGCAAATCACCATAGGACATGCGTTGGTACTCCGGACCGCCACCCTGCTTGACGTGTGTGTACAGCGCTGCGCTAACCAGACTTTGCAAGATGAAGAGGTGGATGGTCATGTTTCTGTAGAAGGAGAGTTGGAACCTATCGACGGCGTAGTATGTATCTTCTGGTAAGCCAGGGACAAGGCCAACCAAGCCAGGTCCCAAGACTTCTAAAGCGCGGTCAACGACAACGCTAGTGGGGAGATTGCCAAAGTGTGCTACACGACCACCTTGAGCGCGAACCCGGTCGCTGAGCCATTCGACACGGCGTATTAGTTCTGATTTTCCTACGCCACGTCCTCTCAGCGTCAGTAGCACAGTACCAACGAGGGCGGTCGGCATCACAACTGAGACGTCGTTGATCTCCGACAGCACTTTGTAGCCTAGTGTGCGGAGGAGACGGAGTCGATCTTCTTTAGTATCTAGTTGTTGGGGTAGTTTTGAGAAACGATCGCGTTGCTGGTTGATGAAGGATTTGAGCGACCATGGCTCATGGAAGCGAACGTCTACGCGGCCGAGTTTGAGAGAGAGGACGGAGGAAGCGGAGAGAAAGTCCATTAGATTTTCTTTGGGCTTGGGTTGACCGAGAAGTTCGCTGATATATGAGCTGTGGCATGTCAGTATTCGAGATAACGTAAAAGTTACCTAGAGAACTTACTCGACCTCGATGACCTTGTCGTACTGGGTCGAAACCGGACAGATGATGGCATCTTCCACCCTGCCACTCGCGACACTATCTAGCATGTAGCTGAGTATGCCAAACTTGGGCGGCAAAAGCTTGCCTGTACGACTCCTCCCACCTTCGACGAAACACTCCAAGTTGTATCCGCATTGCAGCAGGGTATCAATGTACGATTGGACCAACGTGATATACAGCTGATCGTCTCCGAAGCTTCTTCGTATCCACATTGCGCCCGCATGTTGTAGAAAGGACCCGAGGACGGGGATGTTCAGGTTATCTCCAGCAACTACAGTTGGCAAAGCAAGCCCAAGCCGATAGCAGATGATCTGCAAGGAGACGTAGTCGACGTGAGAGCGGTGGCAAGGGAGGAAGATGATGGAGTGTTTATCTTTTGCAGCCTTTTCTGCAACCGCACGTAAGCGTAGCACTTCCTCGCTCGAGACGTGCACGCCCTGGTGGTATGCTCTTGTCAGGAGTTGTGTCGCAAAATAATATGCGCCTCTTATAAAGCCCTTGCTTTCCATCTTGCAGATCATGGAATCCGTCCAGCCCTCGCTGACCTGCATAAGCGATTCCTCAATCTGCATCCTCCTCTTGGCCTTTGTATCCTTCTCGCCGACGCTACCCCCATTTTGCGCCTGTTCGCCCAGCAATCCTTCTTTCGCTTCCACGTCAACGCGCTTGTCTGCCAGTTCGCGAACCTTGGCTACAAGCATCGGGTTGCTCAACACCCTCGCCTTCATGTCCTCGCTGAAGCCCGAGTAGAACTCTGGCTGCCCAATGTGATCGTCGAAGGACCGCCATCCTGTGCCTGAAAAGTGCAGCGATACCTCACGGATGAAGTCGAGTGGCGAGGAGCGGAAGCGCGCGAAGCTGTGTATAAGGCCCCGGTCGGGCGACTCATTGTAGCCGGCTGCGTGCAGGTAGACATTGTCGTCGGCGGTTATGCTGAGATCGGGAGCTTGTTCGGGACTAGAGGAGCGGGCGGTGGAGGGTTTGTCATCTTCATCGGAAGACGCCATGGTGCCTGGAATGGGATAATATTCAGCCGACAGCAAGGAGCGTCTCCTTAGGGAAGGTATGCGGCGGAGAGCGCGGGTGGCATGAGTGGGACGCGCTCACGGGATAATGGGGCGGTGCAGGGCGCGTCCGGTGTTTGTTCTTCGTTGTTGCTGGTAACTTTTACAAGAGTTGATGCTATGACATCGCGAGGAAAGCCATTAGGAGATGCGACCATGGACGGCGCGAAACGTCAAGCTTGAGGTGAGACCCACTTCCCCGGTCGCTATGCCTCGGCTTCCCCACAGGATGCCACGCCGGCGTCCATCACCTCTGATTCGCTCTCCATCAGGACCACTAACTTCAGCCATTGTATGGTAGACTAATGTATAGCTTTATGCTATGGTACGTCTTGGATATATACATTCATCTTCGTCGAGTTGCCGCATACCAGAAAAATACCATATCAGAATATTTCCCACAAACTGACTTTCCCGTCTTTGGCTCCAGCCGCAACCCAGTGTTTGAGCCTCGTCTGCTCGTCGCGCTCCATCTGCCGCTTGTTGACAGCCTTGCTGATATGGCCTGCTTCTTCTGGTGTAAGAATCTCTGCGAAAGCAGTTGAGTAGACTCCTTCCTTGTGCCACTTGAGCACCGCCACTTCTTTGAGTGTTTTGATGCTATATATACGAATCCGGGAATCCCAACCGCCAGTCACAAAGAGCCTGCCGTCAGAGCGGACACGAAGAGATTGCTGACCTGCATGTTTGGTGTCCACTGTTCTGCACGGCGGTTGTGGAGTGACCAGCGGTTGAACTGGCGGAGCTGGTCTAAACTTCGGTAGTGGTGCTGAGGACGCAAGCAGTGAAGATAGACCACTCGGTGCCGAGGTTCCAGGCTTGTCCTGATTCATGTTTTTCTTCGCGAACAAACTTGGCGTAGGTTTGGAAGTGGACACATCCGAGCTGTTGTCTACACCACCAGGATTGTGTGGCAACTCTGGTATGCGATGCTTGGCTATTACAGCATCTGCTGAGGATGTGTAGTAAAGGTCGCCGTCTGGTGAAGCGTCCAATGACAGAATGGGCTGGGAATGGGGCTGGCTAAGGTATACGAGCTGCGCAGTTTCTATGCCTGTGTTGGAATGTTCTTCTGCCAGCATGAAAGCTGCCGTAACACCGCCTTCATATCCTGCAAGAAGTAGAATTCTCTGCGTGGCTTGGCTGCGAACAAGCTTCACAGCCATGACCATTCCGGTCTCAACTGTCTGTATACGTGGGACCCTGACTTTGAGTAGCTCACCAGGGAAGCTGTACACGTCGATTACTTTGTCATCCGTTGATGGGAGTGCTACTAAGATGGAATCGTCTTCCGCGATCGACGTTGGATATTGATAACACATTGAGAAGGAACAAAAGTTCAGAGTGTTTACGGGAAGTGAATGGAGAAGCCATGGTTTTGGAGTGACTTGTCGGTTCCCGTCTTCAGGCAGTGTCGATGAGAGCTTCCCTGCCTCATCATCTGACTCCAGTCGCCAGATCCTTATTCGGTTGTCTCGGCCATGTCTAGACACAATCTGGAGTCAGTATAACCCAGCACGTAATAGCGTAACAGCTGGTGGAAGTGGAGAATGATTTAACACTGTCCTAAGGTGAGTTGCAGGGTGTTGTAACATGACTCACGTGATGATATTTGCTTCTCCCCATTGTGCGAATCCTAAAATGGGGCCATCGTGGGCTGGCCAGACTGCAAGTGGTCGCTTAGTCTGAACATTCCAAAAGACGACCCAGCCATCTGCGTCGCCTGTCAACAGACGGCTATTCTGGCGCACAAACAGAGTACTGTGAATGTGCGCGGCATGGCCACGAAGGATAGCGGTAGGCTGTGCGGGTGGGAGGGTGGCTATCTGGCGCTCTACGGCCATGAGCAAGCTGAGGTATTAGTTTCGGGCAGGCCGGCGCGAGAGACGATCGTCTAGAAGCGATGGTGGGGCCAGTGATGAGCGGTTGAATGTCGGTTATAGAACGCGAACGACGGGTACATGCGCAGTTGGCACGATTGCGGGCTAGGCTTTGCCTTCTCAGATGGTGCTTGATTTTGGTGCGCTAATGTTATCTGGCAGCTGCTGTAGGGGAGCAGTGTAGCCATGGTGGATGGTAGAGAGGAAGATGAATCATGTCCTTTCAGCTCGAGTGGATACAAAGGCGTCGCCAGGTGTTCAAGGATGCCAGGTGCTATGACAGTGCAAAGATTGCCGAGGCGTACAGGGATCTATTCTGGTCTTGAGCTTAATCACAAAACTCTACAAGATTAGACGAGCAGCAATGCAGCCAGTCAGCATCTCACGGAGCGTTGAAGCTGCGCGGGCGCAACGCGACATGCAGATACCAGAAGCCGGTTGGGCGACGTGTGTCTGCAAAACCCATCTATCTGCTCAGTAATTTCTGGCGTATTGTATAGCTGAAGACAAGTGACCCACTTAGGCCCTCATGTCAACACTCTCCCGCCTGCGCCACAATGCGTAGCTCTTAGCTCTTCGCACGAACTACCACGAAGGATGCTAATGTGCTGGGCAGTACGTCTCGCTGCAGAAATGATATACAGCAATTGAGGGTCCGCGGGACGGGAAGAGCGGTTTCCATGCTACGTCGCCGAAGGTCACAACGAATCCAAGCAAGTTTGCATATCATTACCGGGAGGGCGCGCACATCATGGCGTCGCACCCCGGACTGGCGCATACCAAGGCCCAGATGTCTTCCGGACAGCGCATTTCTCCTTCCTCTTCGTCCTTCGTCTTAGGATCGTCGTGATAATTCTCCAGCTGCCCACATTTTGCTATCCGGGATCCCGGAATATGTCTTGTTTCAGAGTATAACTGTCAACGTTACAGGCCCCTCGGTTCACGGCCTCGCGTACACCTGCCCTCGCAACCCTCCCTGAGCACTCTCCTATCGTTCGTCATAGCCTGCATTCACGCCAGCCCGCTCAGGTATAATCCAATATTCCACCTCTCCTCGCGACTCGCTCTCGACTCTTGTTTGCTTCTGTCCCGCCAAAAGCACCGCCTTGTCCCATGACTTTCCTGGCCCACCCCTCAACCTAGACACCTTCGCGTTCCTGCATGTTAGTTGCGGCCGAACGCCTGCAGAAACCCTCTTGCGCAGCTCAGCACTGGACAACACGACCTCAGAAATACCCCGTATCCCTGCGCCTGACGTTGGACTTTTGTATTCGCATCACTACAGCGAAGCCGCGCCCTTGTATTTTCTCCATTGCCTTTGAAACATACCCTGTTGCGACCGCCCTACTGCGACTCTGCCGCCCTCGACCCAACCCACAACCTTCTGCCCTTACTCGACTATCGGACACCAAAGGCGAAGTGGAGGGGCCAACGGACTCGGTTCACTGCACGCCCTGTTACGGGGTCGTGGTCGCCCTGCGTCGGCGAGCGACGGCACAACGACTGTTTTCAAACGAGCCGCGTGTAGTCGAGGAACGTCAGCATGGCCAACACGGCTACACCACCGTCCAATAATGACTCGCCCACGAGCAAGCCATTGCCCACGAGGAAGAGAGCCAGCGATGCGACGCCCGACGACAAACCCAAGAGAACACGCACTGGCTGCTTGACATGCAGGGAGCGCCATCTCAAGTGCGATGAGACCAAGCCAACGTGCAACAACTGCCTCAAGTCCCAGCGCGAGTGCAATTGGGGCAAGAAGCTCAACTTCCTCGACACAACCTGCGAGAGAAACGCATACCTGATCCCCCAGGGTATCGACTACCAGATAGCCTTCATGGACGAGTCACGGACCATTGCTTCGGAATACGTAGGCGGTCGAGAGATGTATCCAGTCGAGGATATGGAAGCAAACGCACCCATGGGCAACAACGGTTTTGGCATGAGACCACCAACTTCGTCGCGCCAGCACATTCCTCCTATGCAGGGCATTGCACAGGAGTCGTACCAGCAAGCACAACTCTCCTATAATTTTGAACAGCCGGCACAGCAGCACCATGGACGTTCAAGTAAGTCAAGGTTCCGTGGAGAGAATTCCAGCTGACTCTCCCAGTATCAAGTTACTCAAACGGCCCAACACCGTCCCCATACACGATGGAACATTCCGCAAGCCCCGGGCCCTTGCCCACGCGCGATTACCTCAAGAGCCAGGAGGAGGTTTTATACATGCAAGTCTTCGTCGAGGAGATTGGCATTTGGATGGACAGCATGGATGCGCACAAGCATTTCTCACGCCTATTACCCTTTCATGCGCTGAACGAGCCTATGCTGTTACACGCTTTCCTCGCATGCGGTGCGCGCCATCTTGCCCTTGTCAATCCCAAGTATAGCGAAGAAAAGGCACTGCACTACTATGATGTAGCTACACGCGATCTGTTACACTCTTTGCAGGATCCCGACCGCGACACCTTCCTGTGTGCGACCACGGCGGTAATATTGAACGTATATGAAATTATGGGCGAACGTGCGCTACAACGGATGAACCACATTGCGGGAGCTCGTGCTTTGATCAAGGAATGCCGATGGAATGCTAGATCGACGGGCATTGGAGCGGCCTGTTTTTGGCTTAACGTTGGCATGGAGATCTTGAGCTGCTTGCACTTCAACTGGCAAGTTGCGTGGGATCCAGACGAATGGGGCATCGAGATGGACTTCACACCAGAGACCGAGTCGGGTAAGGAAGAAGTCTGGACACACCGCATTCTGTATGTCGTCGCAAGGATCTGCAACTTCCGTGCGTCAATACCGAGGAACCAGGAAGTCGCCAGGCAAACCTTGCAGGACCGACACAACGAATGGCTTCGGCTAAAAGACATGACGGACAGGTGGAACGAGAACATACCGCGCACCATGCACCCGATGGCATATCTATATCCTGGACAGACCATATCAGGCTCAGCGTTCCCTGAAGTCTGGCTAATCAAGAGGGCATCGATAATCGCGCGGCTCTTCTACCACACATCCCTTGTCTTACTAGCGCAGATCAACCCACTGCAAGGCCCTAGCGAACCTGACATGTGGGCTATGCTTGAGCAAAACTCCAAATTCATCTGCGGTATCAGTGCACACGTCAAGGACCGTGGTGTAGCCAGTGTCGCGCTTCGATCTCTCGCCATTGCTGCCGAACCACTTACGGACCGACGCGAACAAGAAGAGGTGCTCCAGATTTTCGACAAGATCAGGCAAGAAACAGGCTGGCGTGTAGGATTCGTCAATACAGAGCTGAAGCAGAAGTGGGGCTGGGATACACCGCAAAACCAAGAGCAGAAGCCACAGCAGCAACCACCGCCTCCGCCGCCTCCACAGCAACAGCAGCAAATGAACGGACATATGCAAGAAGGCAATGTTGTATATCAACAACAACAACAACAGCAGCAGCAGCAGCAGCAACAACAGCCCCAAGTCGTCGTCCAGCAGCAGATGCCGCAAGTCTCGGTAGCACCTGCTCCGGTACAGCGGCGCGCTTTTGGCAATCCTCTGCTTGTGGCAGACTTCAGCATGCCACAACACCCATACCAAACCCACTATGTACCCGCAAACATAGTCCAGCAACAGCAACCGCAAACATTACTCCAACCGCCACTGACCGCGATGAACGGATATGGCGGGCAACATTTCTTCTAGCAATCTTTAGCACGACCTCAACTGCTGGTTCTGGTTTTTCGTCTGACTTCTGGATTTGTATTATTTGGCTCTTGCTTCATGACCATTTTCATACAAGGGGCAAGGCGCTTGGGTTTCTATATCTGTGCCTGGGACAAGAGTCACTTTCTTAACGATGTCATGAACAGCATATTTGCGATACCTAATAACAAGATCACGAGGAGGATATTTTGAGATAGGATGGTACACATGGGACATTTGTAAATATATACCCTTGGATTTGAAAAGATATGGGTGGGAGCTGCTCTTGTGAGCATCTGTCCCCATTTACACTTGCACACCTCCTCCAAGCCCTTCCTTTGATAGCGAGTCACGGGCTTGCATTCTGATCGTGCACCATCGAAACTACGATATGGAATCGCATCTCCACTCGCTGATAGCTCGGATCTTGAACGCTAGCTGGGACGCGGTATTCCCTTCGGCAAAGTTCCGTTTGGTGTGATTGAGCTTCGTCGACTAGTCATCATTAGGCCGCCCGTCACTTCAGCCCTGACTCTAGCTTTGTACGCCACAACTACTAGTACAACGCAATTCCTCCATCTCCATCTGATTTTGGTAAGAGCACTTGCACATTAACGCCTCCGGTTGTTCAATTGAAGCGACGGGATGGATATGAGTGGGTTGCGGCCATATACGGAAGGTGTGTTTATGGGATTACCCCTTTCCGCTGCACTGCACAACATGCAGCTTTATGCGGGACCACAGTATGTGGCTGCTGACATTCCAATCTCACGGTATTTTCCTCACTCCCAAACACGTTGCGTACGGGATCTGTTTCCTATAATTTGTTGTTTGAGCAAAGACCACGAGTACGAGCAGTTCGTCGATCAGGTTCGCGACATTCGGCACGACATATCCACATGCAGAGGATATCTTGGGCGACTCTGCAAATCGACTATCCATTACGCTAACTTTGTAATTATTCTATTGGTCGGGATTAACGGAGTGGTGGCGCTTTCCCCTGTGTTTTGGCGAGTCAGTGCTCGACTGTGCCGCAATATGCGATATAACCAAGCGTCTCGCGTGCCTAACAAAGGAAATACGAATAGGCATCCAGCCGCCAGCTACGCCACACGAAACTTGGCTTGTGTATCATCTCGGAGGAACATTGCTACTTGAAGATGTCAGCAGTACCTCGCGTAGATCTCCCCTGGGAATCACTCTTCTCCTATCCTTCTCGTTCTCTTCAAGATGCGTCATGATTTCTGGGACGAGAAAACTACGTACTATGGGCCGAGAAGACATTCTTCTCCTGCAGGACAAAGGAAACGTAGCCGGCGTGCGGGACTTTTAGGGATCGCAGTCTGCTTTCTCGTTGTCTACCAATTTCTCTTGCCGCAGCAAAACGAGACCACTGTCCATCCACAAGGCGCCAACGATACATCTAGCTCTGGGTTGTCCTCTGCACAGCAAATTTCTCAAGGCGCCGAAACACCATTGTGCCCGGAATCGCCAATCGCAAACGATGTCCTGGTAGTTCTTCGAACAGGGGCGACAGAAGCCCTTGAGAAGCTACCGGTTCACTTCGAGACAACACTTCGTTGCGTGCCAGACTATATCGTCTACTCAGACCTCAAAGAGGAGATCCAAGGCCACCAGATCCACGACGTTTTTGAAGGAATCAGCGACGAGCTTAAAGCTTCCGCACCAGAGTTCAAACTCTACGACCATCTCCGCACACATGGCAGGGAGGGTTTGAAAAATACCACGCATCTAGGAAGTGGCCCAGGTGGTGCGCTGGATAACCCTTCATGGAAACTTGATCGTTTCAAGTTTCTCCCCATGGTAGACAAGGCTCTGCTGTACCGTCCTAATGCGAAGTGGTTCGTGTTCATCGAAGCGGATACTTACATGGTTTGGCAAAATATGCTCGAGTACCTGCGCCAGTTCGATCCCGACCAGCCGTTATACATCGGAAAGCACATGTACATTGGACAAACCTTGTTCGCTCATGGAGGGTCTGGGTTCGTCTTGTCGTCCGCTGCTATACGAAAAGTAACTGAACAACGAAATGCCAACCTCGCCGAATATGACGAGTTCACAACCAAAAGCTGGGCGGGTGACATGGTACTAGCCCAGGCCTTGAAAGACGTTAATGTAGACTTGTTTGGGGCATTCCCCCATTTCCAAGGCGATCCAGTTTCATCACTCGACCACAATGTAACGAAGCTCGACAAAACACCCTGGTGTTACGCGCCGATCACCTACCACCACATGCGGCCAACCGATATCCAAAGCCTATGGACCTTTGAGCAAACACGTCAGCAAATTGGCAAGACCCCACCCCTCCACCGCGATGTCTTCCAAGAATACATACTCCCCCAGCTCTATGCCGAAGTTGATGACTGGGATAACCTATCTATGGACGTAGAGGTTGACGATACCGGCCCTTTTGAGGCATGCGAGTTACTCTGCCATTCCAAACCAACCTGTCTCCAATTCTCCTACGCCGCAGGGAAATGTTCGACGTCTACGAAAGTCGTGCTCGGTGAAAGTGCAAAGATGCGATGTGTGGAGTATTCTGATGCGGCGAGTAAATGTATTCGCTGGCAAGAGGGCACACAATTTGCTGGCTCGATTCAGTCTGGGTGGATGATGGATCGGCTTGAGCAGTATGTGATGGAAATGGATAGTACGTGCGCTGATGATGAGGTGAAGTGGGTTGTTTGAAAAATGGTCAGCAATTATCGATTGACTGTCGCGCCATCTTGGCTGGTTTGTTCAGAACAGTGAGGAAAGGGGGACCAGCCTGTCGGTGTCGTCTCTTTTCATGACTGCGATGCTGAACATCTAACAGCTAGGGTGGACCCTGTGTTGAAAGGTCTGAATGACTGCTGCAGCCACACGTTCCAGACAAAAGATGGTGGGCGAGCAGCGCTGGCTTCAAGCTCTCGGCGACCCTTTTTCAAGTCATCTGGTCGTTCCAGAACATCTCCTGTGAGCGATTCGCGATGCAGGCTGGGCAAACTTGATGGAGAAGGCTGCGTTTGACTGGACTAAACGATTGACATGGATACGAGGAGTCAGGACTACAAACTATTTGTATGGCTAGGAAGCGAAGGCGATCTTAGGAGAGACGGCAGAGCACCGCGAATTATACCCGCCGAGTATTGAGGCACAATATTATGTTTTCTATAGTAGACGGAGGAATGAGACGACTTCAACATGTGCTGTTCATCTGCCTCTAATGTGTTAAAACTCGAAGATACCCGGAATGCAAATCACATGCACAAGTAAGATGAGATATTATTCAATGTGATAAAATTCTGCTATATACATTACATTCATTTCTCGTTTGTCCTATTATCAATGCCCTACTTCGATGTGTCAAGAACATAGCGTCCAGCAATGGCACCCTTGTTCATCTTGTCATAGACCATCTGAAGTTCAGATAGACCAACGACCTTGTAGGGGGCCTTGATCAAGCCACGGCGGAAGAACTCAATAGCCTCCGAACTGTCCTTGCGGTTGCCGACATATGAACCTTGGATCCTGATCATCTTGATGACGGTCTCGAAAACAGGCGCCTTCAGATAGGCGCCAGCTGGAAGACCAATGCAGATGACTGTACCGCGTGGGCGGACGTACTCGGCGGCTTGCTGGAAGGGCTTCTCGTTGACGGCGACAAGGATGACAACGTGGGGACCAAGGCCATCGGGTGTTGCCTTTTGTACATCGGCGACGAGGTTCTTGCTCGTTGAGAAATCAACAAAGGCCTCGGCACCGAGCTCTTCAGTGCACATCTTCTTCTTCTCGTCACCTGTGTCGATAGCAATTGTTCGTACACCCATTGCCTTTGCGTACTGGCAGGCAAGCGAACCGAGACCACCACCAGCACCGACAATGGCAGCGAATTGACCAGGCTTAACGCCCGACTCTTTGAGGCCCTTGTAGACAGTGATACCGGCGCACAGAACTGGGGCAATAGCGGCGAGATCGCACTCCTTGGGAATGCGTGCGACGTGGGCAGCTTTTGCGATGCAGTATTGCTGGAATGTGCCGTCGACAGTGTATCCAGACAGAAGAGGCTTCGGGCAAAGGGGCTCATCAGCTTGTTGGCAGAAATCACAGGCCAGGCAGGATCCGTTTAGCCATTTGACACCTTGACGATGAGTTAGTAGTGCTCGAACATACCAAAGAATGACTTACCAGCATAATCGCCAATTTCTACATCTGTGACAAGGTCACCTCGTGCGACTACGACACCAGCACCTTCATGACCGCCAACAAGAGGTAGCTTGGTAGCCTAGGAACCGTCAGCATATGTTAAGATTGGCAAAACGAGATATGCTTACCAATGGCCAGTCACCGTTCACAGCGTGAAGATCTGTGTGGCAGACACCACTGTACTTGATGTTGACGAGAACCTCATCTGGACCGGGCTTCTGGACGGGAATCTTCTTGTAATCGACGGGTCCGCCGGTCTTCTCGATGACCTGCGCCCATTGCTCCTTGGGAATTTCGCTCATATTGAAGTGTGTAGTGGATATTGAGGAATTGCTGGAGTGTTTATAGCAGTAGATCGATGGTGTGATTGATGGTAGATGAGTTCAGTCTTGCAGGAGGTACGCGGTTTATATACCTTTCATTGCGGCACAGAGAAGCTCAAGACATTGACCCCACCCGGGATTAAACCTGCGAGTTGAACAGGGTCCGAATGTATCCGTGCCTCCTTACAGGAAGCTACAGGCGCTGCGTCCGTTCATCCATGGCCAAGCAAGGTCTTCTGCTGACCCCTAGAGGGGTACATGGAGTGGGATTGGACGCTGATCGGATCATGATGCTTCGGCTGGGTGGCAGCGACCATAGCGTGAGCGCGGAGTATCCGTGGTAAGATGGAAACTAAAGCCAGAAAGAGAGAAGTGGAGGTGGCCTGATTCTAGCGCATGTAAATCAGCTCAGGGATCATGGTTCGACACAAACTTTCGTTTGCTGTGGTGTGAGGGGTGACTTGGAGGATGTGTCGCCTAGGTGGGGTCGGCGTTAGGCGACTAGCCTCATTCAACGGGATATCTCCTGATACTTGTCGCTCAGTACCTATCGTCCACGGCCGCTGCCGCAAAGATATCAAGGCGAAAATCTATTCCTGTTGGAATGACATGTTGACTGAAGGCTTGAGTGACGATGGCAACGTCCTGTTCCAGGCTCGGCCACAGTTCGGTTCAACCGCGCCTCGTCTCCATCTGGTCCCTCCACCAGCATCATTCTACAGCTCATGTGAGAAGTAAAGCCCCGTAAGTGCGCATTTTGGTTGACGAAACCTGCCAACTGGGTCGGTCGAACGCAATCTCAAACGCTATTCCCAGGCCTTCTGCGTAAGCTTGTCCAGCCACATGTAGCCGTGCATCTACATCTTCCAATTGAGGAAGTCGAGGAAGCTAGCTGGCCAATAAGACACCCCTAGCATTGCCTCCAGACGACTCCACTACACGCGGCTCCTGTTGTACTATGCGGGGGTTCTGAGTCCCGGGAAGCGTGGTTGTAGCGCGTCCGCAATCGCGGGGTAGTTTGCAAACTGTGGCTCGCTGGCGTCTATTGAAAGTAGCCGGAGGTTACGGAGCAAGGGGTGGTAGGAGGTGCGTTTCCCAGGTTCAGAAACATAGACTGCGAGCAAGGTCTAAGTTGGTCGCAAGAGTATCGTTTGTCTTGGACATCAAGATGTGCGGGGCTGAAGATCTGTTGGAAAAAGCACCGGGACTAGAAGATCCGTAGACACGTATCTTGCTGCTAGCTGGGTCTGCGGGCGACAGGAGGGGAAAAAACCGGAGTCGGGGTGCTCATAACATTGGAGCAGAAGCACTCTCTTATGCAAATGGCCTCCTGAGAACCCTGTTGCATAAATGAGTACCTTCATGACTTCTCCTGGGCTGGATGCGAGAGCTCGATGCGATGCCTGGTGAAGTCTGGGACCAGGCCTAATGCAGCCCTCTGTCGTGACTACGCTGCATACCTTGGACTCGACTCGAGCTTCGAGACGATAGTCTCATTATACAAACGGATACAAGGTTTTCACGGAGTAATACATAGCCAATAGCAAGGCACAGAGGAGCCGGAGTGTAGGGACAAGAGCATCATAAAGTTCATTGTGGTATCATAGCCAAATCGAAGGCTTGCAAGTATTTAGTCACGGACAACGTTACAGCACATATTGAGGCGCGCAAAAGCTTGAACAGAACGCGTACGCCAGGTGCGATCACACCTCTACTGCACCATGACGTCGGCAGCCTCGCCATTCCCATTAGCCGAACGCTCATCGGCGTCCTGCAAGCCAAGAGGTAACGCGGGAGGGATATCCTTTTGAGCAGCTCGAGCCTTAGTCTCTGCCCACTGCCGTAGACGCACCAGGCTCCTCATGCGGGATTCTCCATGTGCTCCCATGCTAGTGAGTATTGCCTCATTGACCTTGCTGGCAACATTGCGACGAAGCGAAGGCTCCAGTAGCTCGTTGAGCTCCTTCTGTAGTGTCCCGGGGGCGGCAGGAAGGAAGATGAGTAACGACATGGTAAGTTCAAGGTCTTTCAAGAAATCATTGTTCGTAGCTGCGCGGGGAGCGAGCTGAGACGAAGCGAAATTAAGCGCGGGTGTGATATCGGAGGTGGAAGACGACGTGCATGCGCGAATGAGCTCAATGAGCTGTAGTCGCAACAGTGCAAAGTGCAAAGATGGGTCTGTATCTAAGATCTGACTCAAGAATTAGCAAAGCTCAGATAAAGTTATGCAATATGAGTAGATGTAGTTGCTTGCAATCATACTGAGGACTGAAGGTTTGATTATCATCAAAGAGATTCTGCGTGGTGCATGAAACTGGATATAATCCTGCAAGATAAGAAAGGAGTGAGCAAGGAATGCATACCTGAGGGTTCAGATCATTGATCTTGGTAATGGCATTATCAATATCGCCAGCATGGATAGACCGACGTATTTCTACGCGGGACTGAATGGACTCCTCCTCAAGAGGCAGCTGGATGTTGGCTTCCTTGGCAAACTTTTCAGCAGCTCTAGGATAGCCTTCGCTAACCAGGTAGTCCATGATGACGAAGTTGATATCCCTGTAACAGAGTTGTTAGCTTTGCGATTCAGTAGCACTTGTTGTATTGCGCAAAGCAGCAGCTACTGCAAGATCAGAGATACAAGTTAACATGTTCTCCACACGTTGTTTCGGAGAGATTCCCAACTTATTTTGAAATCATCATGTGGGACAGCAGCTGCGGCGACGCGGAAGGGTAGTAACTTACGTCTTAGACGGCTTGATGTCATCAATCTTCCTCTGGAAAGGATGCTGCGTTGGCGTAGCCGCCGACACAGATACTGTGGATGAGCTCTGCATGATTGTTAGAGGGAGGGGAGATTTGCGACAGCAGTGCGTTGGAGCTTACCATGGTGAAGCGAGGCGCTCAGCAAGCCTCAGCCGACGTCCATCAGCGAAAGATAGAGCTGCCCGACCGTTGGTCGAGTGTGCTGGCAGTCACGCAAAACTTGGTGCGTGATGAGAGAAAGTTTGTGAGTTCAGGTTCGTGGAAGAGAAAGACTGAGCTTGCGCGCTTGGCGACACTAGTGGATGTGGGTCGCCTTACGTAATCCCGACACTAAGTACAGAGCCGCCCGCTGCACAAACCCGATTGTGCTGGAACCCTGCATACGCTCGATATCTTTCAATCTTGCTACGAGAGGTGCGAATTGGTAGGGTATGAGGTAGCAGAAGCACGGTTTCACTTGGAAAACTAAAGACATCGCAAACATGTCCTCGGCAGGCCGCAGAACGCACTACGAACCGCCATGGGGCAACGCGAGTATTATTGGTGTAGCTGGCAGCTCGGGATCTGGAAAAACATCTCTGGCAATGGCTATCGTGGCGTCTCTGAACTTGCCATGGGTTGTCATCCTGTCTATGGTTCGTACCAGCCTCGCACAGTGGGTCACGTGCTCCAATCAGCTAAGGACCACTGCATGTAGGATTCGTTCTACAAGCCCTTGACACCAGAGCAATCTGCAGCGGCTTTCCGAAACGAGTTTGACTTCGATTCACCAGACGCTATAGACTTCGATATCCTGGTCGAGCGCCTGAAAGACATCAAGAACGGCAAAGTGGCTGAAGTTCCCATATACTCCTTCCAGAAGCACGCCCGCCTTTCCAAGACGACGACAATCTACTCTCCCCACGTCATAATCCTGGAAGGCATCTTCGCTCTGCATGATCAACGCGTGCTCGATCTCTTGGATCTCAAGATCTTTGCCGAAGCCGATGCCGACCTGTGTCTCTCGCGACGTCTCGTGCGGGATGTGAAAGAACGTGGCCGAGACATTGAAGGATGCATCAAACAATGGTTCTCCTTTGTAAAGCCCAACTTCTACAAATATGTTGCCCCACAAAGGGAGATTGCTGATCTTATCATTCCAAGAGGTATCGAGAACAAGGTCGCAATCACCATGGTGAGCAATCAGGTTCGGCAGACGCTAGAGAGTAAGAGTATACAACATCAGACGGAGCTAAGACGACTGGGAAAGATAGCGGAAGATAGTCCTTTGAGTGGGAATGCTATCGTGCTGAAGCAGACGAATCAGGTCAAGGGGATGCATACCCTGTTGCTGAACCCAAGCACACCGAAAGAGGACTTTGTGTTCTACTTTGACCGCATGGTGGCGCTTTTGATAGAAACCGCTGCGGATTTCTTGCCTTTCACGCCGCATGAGGTCACTACACCTCAGGACTACAAGTACCAGGGGCTGAAGAAGGTTGCAGAAGTTAGTGCTGTTGTGGTGCTACGTGGTGGAAGTGCATTCGAAACGGGCCTTCGACGGACGATTCCAGACTGCAGGACTGGCAGGGTTTTGATCCAAACAAACTTCAGGACTGGGGAGCCAGAGCTGCACTACCGAGCCCTTCCTGCAAACATTGCCGAGCATGGGCTTGTCTTGGTTCTGGATCCGCAGTTCTCTACAGGGGCGGCCGCACTGATGGCAGTCAGGGTACTGGTCGACCATGGCGTACCCGAGAGCAAGATCGTCTTCGTGACGTACACAGCAGGTCGTGTCGGACTCAATAGGGTGTTGAGTGTATTCCCGGACATTAAGATTGTGGTTGCGAGGCTGGGCAACGATGAGGAGGCGCGATGGATCGAGACGAAGTATCTGGGGTGCTGATACGGGAGCGCACATCACGAATTACGCAAGTTACAGCGGGCTGGTTGAGACTGCAAACGATCTTCACTATATGATTTGATTTCACGCTCGACTGTATATAACCAATATACTCTCGTCCGAACGCCGTGCCTCTTGCCAACGCCGATAAACGCAGGTTCGCGCCGAACCAGTAATGCATCGCTATGTTCGTTGGGTATCATAGGAAGTACTCCGTTGTGACCTCCTTTCCTTGTTGTTGCTGCTGCTCTGCCCGGTGGACATCGTTATCAGGGCTCGCATCGAAGACGTTAAAGAAGCGTTCGCCGGTGTCGCTGACCTCCAGTACACTCGCCATGTTGCCACACCGATAGCAGTAATTGGGTGCACTCCAGACCGTGCTGAGCCTGTCATCGTACAGGACTTGGTACCCTTCTTGACATAGCTGGTGTGCGCGTAGAATATGCGACATGGAGTTGACCTCGAGGAACTTTTTGACTACTTGTGCTCCAAATGTATAGCCTGCACCCCTCGGGCTAAGCGAGAACTCGTCCCGTTCAGGATCGGGGTCGCTCCAAACCAGGTCCGCCATGGGTCCCTCGTGCGGGATTTCTCGAAAACGGTCTATGATTTTAATTTGGTCGATGGAGTGAATCGACGGTGACAAGCCGCCGTGTACGCAGAAGATCTGGTCGTTGATGACGACGGATAGAGTGAGGAAGTCGAACATGTCGGTGAAGTAGTGCCATACGTTCGCATTGCCGTACTTGCGCGAGCATTCGGTGTAGAAGCCATAAGATTGGGTGACTCCGCGAGATTCGTGGTTGCCGCGTATGAGGTGAACTCGGTGCGGATAGCGGAGCTTCAAGCATACAAGGAGTGATATTGTTTCAACGGAGAAAAGACCACGATCGACGTAGTCGCCTAGCACACGTCAGCGTCGTGAACCGGGGTCGCGTGCCACATGTGGCCAATGAAGCAGAACATACCCAGGAAAAGGTAGTTGGTATCAGGACATGGTCCGCCAATCTTGAATATCTCCATCATATCAAAAAACTGCCCGTGAATGTCACCCACGACAGTGACGGGCGCTCTGATATGCACGACATTGCTCTCCTTCATGAGCAGCTCCTTGGTCTTTGCGCATATTGCCTCGACGACCGACTCGGCGAGCAGTTCTTTCTTCGACAGGCGCGATATGCATTCATCGAGGTCTACGGTAGCTGCCAAAATGTCAGCACAGCCATGTACACAGTGCGCAGGCGGCGTCGGCGACTGACGTACACGGTAGACCGGGCATGGTGGTGTTTGTGGCGTTGGCGTGGGCGTGGGAGCATCCGCGGCGCAGCTCAGGGTATTGAGTCTATACTGGTCGCTAACAGATGTCTATATCGTACAATCATCCTCGGGGGCGCATCGAGGGTCGGAATACGGGCGATGGCGCAAACGCGAGCAACATGGGAATGGGGGGCAATGTGTGCTGTCGGTCTGAAATGCGGCGGCATCCCGCACATGTCTTGGCCCGAGCGCAAAACGTGACTACGCTCCAAACTTCATTTCAACGCGACGTCCGTCTGTCAGACTTAGACATAGGTTAAGCACTCAAGTTCTTTGCCTGTCACATCTCTGCTCCTGCTGCATCTACTTTGACCCTGTTGTTCCGAGGATACCCCTCTGCACTCTTCCCAATTCGCCATCTGCATCCTGTTGTGCTCTCAATAGCAACTTCCAAGGGTTTTCCTCACATCAACCTGGCTTGTTTCACCCTTCCGTCAACTCAATTCCGTCTTTCCCAACGTCATAATCTCGCCCCCAAACAGTCAACTTTCACGCGTTACTGGGGCATATTGAGTTGCAGACCCCTCTATGAGCTTGGGCTTCTCTTTCGTCCTGGCTCGTGCGCTCGACCAGACCAAATTTTGAGACGCGCACCTCGCCGGCTCGCACCTCGAGATCTCTTGCCAACATCGAGTTCAACTGCATCACCATTTTCAAGCAATCCATCGGCTCGCATTGGTGCTGGTCTGATATTGCTCGTCTTGCGCGTCTTGTGTATCGATCAGGTAAATTGCTTTAGGTGGTATGTCGTGGAGCGGGCCCGTGACGGGTGCAACGCCTTTTCAGCAACAACCATATGCCAACGGTCAGCCATATGGACAGCAGCCACCCTATCAATATGGACAGCAGCCAGCACAGCAGCCAGGATACGGACAGTATCAGTCAGGAGCGGCCTACCCGCCAAACGGTCCACCCCATAGGGCTCATGTTCAGTAGGTCGCCTCTATCCTACCACTTACCCTCAGCTTGCATCTTGCAAAATGCGAAGTTACAGTTTGTAGCTCCGTGGAATCATCTCCTGACACATGCATAGGCCGCCAAAGAAAAAGGGGAATCCCATAATCACCCGGTATCCTCCTCCCCCAGGTTACCGTGGACCGGCGCAACCTCAGGGTACTTTTGGCTCCAATCAGTTTCCCAATCAATACCAACCGCCACAGCCAGCGTTTTCACAGACACAGGCAGCACTCCCAAACTATCCTCAGCAAGGTTATACTGCTTCTGCTGCGCACCAGAACTATTCTGCTCAAGGTTATAGTCAGCCACCGCCGCAAGCGTCCAACTATTCACAATCCTCATATCCACAAGCACAACCTAATTACCAATGGCCGCAACCTGGCTACTTGTCAAATTCGGGCTACTCGCAGCCTCCAAACCAACCTCCCGCGCAGCCCCATGCACCACCTCAGAGCCATTATCAAGGCTATCAGCCCCATCATCACGCTGCTAACCCTAACCAGCAGACTTATGGCCAGAATTCAGCGTGGTCGCAACAGCATGCTCAACCTGCGCCAGATCCTCACGCCACACCAACCCAGGCGACTATTCACCTCAATACAACTCATGCTCTTCCATCATCTAACCAGTCAACCAGTGCCGTAAGTGAGGGAAGTTCGAGCGAGAAGCCACAACTATACCTTGCCTGGGATGATTGGGATTTCGACTTCGATGGTGCGATATGGCCCAAGAGCAATGAACCTGTCGATCCGGCGTTGAGTCTCGGTGTCATTATCTGGCATCCCGCCAAGCAGGTGACACGTGCGTTACCCTCGACTTTCGCAGAGGCTGAAGCAGAAGCTCTGAAACCCACGCCTGAGAAACTGGACAATGGAGATTCAGTGTCCATGTACTTTACCGCTGACAACTCGCATGAGGCTTTCTTGAACGTTAGACAGACGGATGAATGGGAGATACTCAAGGACGATCCAGTCTTTGTCGAGTTTACAGACGAGGAAATGAGATCAAACCTGATCTCATTAGAGGATTGTATTGCGCAGCGAGACCGTCCCGACGAATCATACGAGGAGACACGACAAGATGAGGATCTAGAGATGCGCGATGCTACGTGGGACATTATGGATAACCTTGAGCAAGCACTCGCTACTAACAACGGTGCCGCAAAACCCACTGCTATGAAATCTGAAACAGCTTCTCCTCAACAGCTAAGCCAGGAAGACATTCTCGCCAAGTTAGGCGTAACCGGAACTCCCAAGCCGCCATCGAATGATCCCATCTCATTGCCGTTATCAGCCTCTGATGCGAAGCCTCCGGCATCGCTTCCCGGGAAGCCATTGCTGGCCCCTTCTCCCGCAAAGACCACTGAGTCTGTTCTTCCACCACAGCGTGCGCATTCTTTTGGAGGGCACCGTAACAGTGGACATGGACCTCCTCCTCCTCGGCCTTATGGCTCCCTGTCGTCTTCCGCCAACTCCAGGCCTCATCCGCCACCGCCACCTCCCGAAGAACAGCGCTACGATCCTTGGAATGCACCTCAGCGTAATGGTCATAGCCTTGATGACTCCAGGGGCAGCCCAGCACCCTCCGAAGGAAGCAATCGTACCATGGCAGGGTCTGATTTTGAACCTGAAAACCCCAGCAGCGGGACACAGCAGGACACGCCAACTGTACCCTCACTTGATCGAGGCGACAGCTCCTTCTCCCGGAAGAGGAGCTATGAAGATGCAGAGAATGAGCGTTTGCGGCAGCAAGAGGATCACAGCAAACGGAAGAGGCGCTCTCAGGTAGACGCCGCATATAGGTAAGCTTCTTTCTATCCCTCCAATATTCTTCGGTTGCTTCTCAGATTCTTACTAGGCACAGTCGCCGTTGAACAGCTAGATGTACGTCGGCACATCCACTGCTCCCCGAGCTCCGTACTCTCGACACATGAGTACCGATCATTGCGACTTCCGATCCGCCGACTTGGAACGTGCCTCCTCAGTATCTTAACCTCGGCCAACGATTTCCTTATGAGTCGGGAGCATCCGTTGATCTCAACATGTCTACATGTTGAGAATTTTCAAACTCCGTCATTTGTTGTCTTGCGATTACATTCTTATATCAACAGGCGCAAAATAATTGCGGCCTCATTTTCTGATTTACAATACGCTTCCATGAGTCTGGATGGGTGTCTTATGGGTATGGCGTCATTTAATGCTCTGTGTTCATTTGACAGACTGCACATCATGTCCTTTTCTCCTCATTTTCTACTCCCGACGTACTGCGTTCTTGTCATCTTCACCGATATTTATATTAATCTCATTTGACTTTCATCCCCGCACAGTTGGCGCATTGATTCGCCTTGGAACATATTTTTTCCTCGCATCGTCGCCATATTCTTTGTCACCAACCAAGCATGATCCTTACGTCTTCAAATCTTGTTTCTCTGTTGCTTGATCCTCTTTTTCGCTTTACCCTTGTAGGTCGTGGTTTGACTGCGCGATCTAGCAAGACTATGCAGTTGTGCATACAGTAAGTATCTGTTCGATACTAGGCGCTTGAAACCAAGCGATGTCAGCAACAGGGCCTATTCTGCTCTAGCAATTTCGTGGACAACTGTAAAAACTCTTTCGGTATGTGACAAGTGCTAAAATCTTGAAGCGGGGTTGATAGACATGTTCGATACAAGATGCGCTGTAAGATTTGCATGCTAGTTGACGATCCCCGACCTCCAATGTGGGGCATAGAGAAAGTTTGGGTTTGCTCCTCTCGGTATAAAATGGCAACTAGCTGTAGCAGATAGGTCATGTGTCAGTACAGTTAACGTAGACAACGAATATAAAATTTCAGGGGTACAAAGCTGTCCTGTGGACCTGACAGATAATCACACGACATTGCCACTTGATCGATGTGACTGAGAGAACAAAGAATGGTATAGAAAGATTTCGGACTACAGACACATGCTCTATACGTTAGCTAGCACCGGCGTGGCCGCAGTGTCCCGTGTTTCGTATTCCATGTTCCTCGGCTGCATGCGCCACAGCTCAGCCACACGGTGCGTCATCAGGTCAAGCGACTGGTACCTCTCGCTCAGGCGACACCACCACGCCAGCATAACAACTGCAACCTTGCACCTACAGCGCCTCGACTATCTCAGAAATTTACTTCGTACATCACCGTCATCATGTGCGGCTCCGACTGCTTTCTGATGCTCTTGAGCGTCCTAGTACGTTGACGCCCCCACAGCTGTGGCAGGCACCAGCTGTTTATCTGCGACCCACGGCTCCACGGCTCCAAGTACTGACACATTGACTAGTTCCCACCTGTAGGCGTCTGGGTCAAGAAAGGACTCTGTAGCGCCGACTCTCTTATCAACCTCGCGCTCTGCTGTCTTGGTTTCCTGCCGGGTCTCCTGCACGCCTGGTACGTGATCCTGCAAAACCCGGACCCGTACGACGCATACCATCAAGTACCCGACCGCGAGAACGGTACAACTAGCGACGGCCGAACAACATACTATGTTATCACACATGAGCAACCGGCTGGACGACAGGCGAACTATGGCACTGTGGGTAGCCAGCCAAGCAACGGACAGTTCCCCGGACAGCAGAGTGGCGTGACAAACAGTTTTGCGCAGCCAAAGGGACACAAAGCCTCCAAGGGCACTTCGCCTGCGACTGCGCCTGCACCGCAAGGCGGCGAGGGTAGCTCGAGCCAGCCCGAAGGGCCGCCACCGACCTATGCGGATGTGATCAAGGGCGACAACAAGGTTCAAGGCCCGTAGATTATGTTGTTGAAAAGAACAGTCTCAAGAGGAGGGGGCGACAAGGTGGTGTAGTTTGTAGCAGCTGGCGCATGGGAATGGCTGCGATAGCAGCATGGCGTTTAAGGGCTATGGTTATCGATATCTCGAGTGGGAAGGGAACAAACACTGTATACTAGACATTACCAATGCTGAATAATATCGGTGGACCATACACCTGCGAGTATCGACATGCGACGAGCTTCTTGATCATGTACTGTGTGTGCATCGTCCAAACCTCAGCCCATACGTCATCGTACGGGCTGCATAGATCCTATGGCTGCAGGAACAACGGCAGACGCACCCGACTTCAAATTCCCAATCACGACTTACACCAGAATCGAGCGGCACGTAGAGGGAAAACTCCCATTCGAAATGTTACGCCACGAATCAAGTTGTCGCAGCGTGCCGCCACGTACGTCGACGCGGCATGCCCTCGGCGGTTACGCACCAATGCTACGACAACGGCCCGGCATTTCTTTTGCTCTGAGCCCGCCGTCATCCATGACCTTTGCGCAACCTGCCTAGTTGGGTAATAGACAAGGGAAAAAGCAAGAATCGTTGAAATCACTTGATGCAGACTAGGGGGTGTATTCTCAGCAAGTCCTGTGCATGATCTGTAGTCGAAGGGTTGGCGAATGCGCGCCTCTGTTGACGTGCCATTCTTGTCTCAGCCGTGCAACGGGGGCAACGGCGCGCAAGCAGAGAAAAACCAAGTGTTGTACGCTTACGGTGTACACGTAAATCACTCCTAAGACTGCAGCAGTAAGATCAGCGTAGCACACGTGGTAGTAGGACACGGGGTGAAGCCTCCGACGCAGGCCATGCATTCATGAATGGAAAGCAAGGAAGGCTCAAGCCATCATCTGCTTCCCCGGATCAAGAATCGCAATGCCAGGCCTGCAGCTCGTTAATTGCCGACGACGACCAATTAAGCGTTTCGCAGTCTAGGCGCATCGTCATGCCCAGACCGCCTCTACGCCCCCCTCTTAGCCTAAGCCCCTAGCCAAGTACCTTGAGTGCATCTTGGTTCTATGTGACAAGGCTTGACTATCATGACGTGAAGCTTCGCATATCTCTGTTCTACGGAACAATCGACTGGTTTCCGAACGCAGTGATTTGTGTTTGCATGCGCGCGCTACTGAACACAGCCTTTGACAATCGCCATTAGCTTTGTTAGTCGCCCCCGTTCAACTGTGGCTGGAGCATTCGACGCGTTTCTCATTCGTGCGAAGTGCACAACAGCCACATCTACTGACGAGTGCGTGCGCTGGCCTCCTGTTAACAGGTTTAATTACCTTGTGGCCCTTCTCCCTTTCTTCATTCATTTCACCGGTCCTTCTTTCACAAGCAATCCCATCGCCTACAATCTCCCGACCCCGAGTGCGAGCATTATCTCGCGTCTATCTCTCACCGGTTGCCTCAGGCACAACAACTTACGCGCTTGTTAGCCCAGACAGTTCTTCGCCCCCATTTCAACGGTTTCGGCCCCCAGCTACTTGTTCCGAAGCACAAGCACCTCGTTCCGAGTAACGACTACACACGCCGACCTGAAAGTCGCACTTGAGCGCGACTCTCGATTGGACCAAACCTCCACCCACCATTAAGTGGAAAAAGACGGCCCAGCTGCCGCGAAAGTAGATCAATGCGTAAGTGGATCCACATCTCCGAGGCATCGAGATCACGTAAAGTCTTAATCACCCAACAACTCGACATCTCCTGCCAAACATCAAACTCCCTCTAACGATGAACTTAGATACCGTACGAAGGCAGGCTCATCGCGTCGCATCGCAACATGGTGGAAATGGCGCAGCCAACTATAATCCGTTCGCCCGACAACGGTCGCGAGACATTAATCTAGATGAGGAGAACGCAGTATACAGAACGCGATCCGAAACACATGCTACTCCCGCTATCGAGGAGCAAAGACGGCTAGAAAGCAGGGAAGCCGGAAAGGAGTTTGGCATGCCCGACCACCACAACACCGAGCCCTCCGCATCTTCGCCAACATACGGCAGCGCATCTACGACTTTTCCAGAATCGACAACCGAGAAGGACTTGACTTCTCATTTGAACGGTACGCACAAGGCATCAGACGACAGCACAATCGTGCCTTCCAACCAAGAAAGCAATGTTGGTCCCACCCGACGAGCTAGGTTCAAGGGCATCTTCCGCAAAGACCATCAGGATGCTGAGAACGATGAGGCCGAGCATCCAGAGGCTGATGAACTTTCGTTGGAGGAACGTAAGAAGAAGGCGTTCAAGAGGAAGATTCCGGTTGGCGCACAGATCAAGTTCGTTCTCTTTGGTGCGTGGATCAACGTGCTCCTCGTCATGGTACCCGTCGGCTTCGCTGTCTATTATGCCAGGCTGAAGCCCGTCCCGGTTTTCATCATCAACTTCATCGCCATCATCCCGCTCGCGGCAATGCTGAGTAACGCGACCGAGGAGCTGGCCATTCGAGTTGGTGAGACTCTTGGTGGACTGTTGAACGCTACCTTTGGAAACGCCGTGGAGTTGATTGTCTCCGTCCAAGCCCTACTCAAGAATGAGATCACCATCGTCAAGACCTCGCTTATTGGCAGCATGTTGTCGAATCTGCTGTTGGTTTTGGGCATGTCGTTCTTCCTTGGAGGAATCAACCGTCTGGAACAATTCTTCAACGTCACAGTCGCACAGACTGCAGCGTCGCTGCTTGCTCTTTGTATCGCATCGCTGATCATCCCAACTGTGTTCCACAACACCATTGCCGAGGATGACTCAGTCGCACAAAACGGTGCTGCAGATGCCGTCAGGAACCAGGAGTTGTCTCACGGAACAGCCGTTATCCTCCTCTTGGTCTACGCTTGCTACCTTGGATTTCAGTTGAAGACCCACGCCACCATGTACAATGAGCCCAGTCAAAAGGTTCCTAAGCGCAAGTCTGGCAAGAAGGAAGAGGGCGACGCATCGCGTGGTATCGCAGCCATTGGCGCTGGCACTGCTGCAGCTTCTGGAGGTGGTGTCAATATGAAGTCACTCTTCAAGAACCCCGACGGATCAGATGACGATGAGGAAGAAGAGGAGTTCGAAACACCATCGCTTTCCGTTATTGGCGCCCTCGTCACTCTCGCAATCTCCACTACTCTCGTTGCTTTCTGCTCCGAATTCATGGTCTCCAGTATCGATGGTCTCACCGCTACCGGTGGCGTATCTACAACATTCGTCGGTTTGATTCTGCTACCCATTGTCGGTAACGCTGCCGAGCACGCTACTGCGGTCACTGTCGCCATCAAGGACAAGATGGACCTCTCCATTGGTGTCGCTGTCGGCTCCAGTATGCAAATCGCTCTCCTCGTTTTCCCTCTTATTGTCATCTTGGGTTGGATTTTGGGCAAAGACTGCATGACCCTTTACTTCGACACCTTCCAAATCGCCACGCTGTTCGTCTCAGTATTGCTAGTCAACTACCTCATTCAGGACGGCAAGTCACGTAAGTTTTACAGCCGAACTCCTCACCCATTTAGCTTACTAACGGTACGCAGACTGGCTCGAAGGCATCTTGCTCATGGCAAGCTATATCATCATCGCGTTGGCAGCCTGGTTCTACCCCGACATTCAGGAGAACCAGTGCTAGAGCCATATCCACATTAGTTCTCACTTTTTCTCTTCTCTCTTTCATTCTTCGTGTACATATTTGTAGGGTCTCTGCAGAAAGAGGTGGTGTTTTGGGAGTCTAGGCTCATGGGAGTACATACTGCGACTGCTCTTTTTCCTTGAATTTGTTCGGATACCCAATTGTATATCAAGGGCTATAGAAGCACCTTATTCCAACACCAATACAAGCGATAATGTCTACTTTAGGTTCTTTAGTACAAAGTATATTTCGTGGTTGGACAAACGACCATATCGATGCTATGCGTGAATAACAAAAGCGATTGCTGTCAAGGACGCCATATGTCTGTTCAAGGTATAGCCCAGCACAACTCTTCGTTCCTCTGCGTGATCTTCATGCTAAAAGCTGATGCGCATTCTAGGTTGATTCGTTCGGGCCTTATATGTACGCTGACCTACCCAAAAGCTGCGAGATCTCGACCCATTTTGCCGCCTACAATGCCCACTTCATCTACGAATCCAACTCAAACGACGGAGCCGGGAGTTTCTTAACATACCTTGTACGTTAGATGTGTTGGATTCCAGATTTGTCCCCTCTCACTCACCTTGCTTCAGTCTGCCAGACTCAGGTGCTTGTGCACGTAGCTTCAATCAAGCCTAGAATGCGCATTACTCTCTCACCACCAATCTGAATCTCCGACTCCCACTGCCCATCTCTCTCACCTGCCTTCTCCCCTCTTTCGTCAACGCTGCTACTGTCTATATAAATTTCACTTCCTGCTGCTCCTCCATCTTTCCTACACTACCGTCCTCTTGTCTCTTTGTCGTCCCTCAAGCCTGCCTCAACCTGTACTTGGCATCCAACTACTACGTCAATCTCATCTCAGCGCCAAGCCACCATGGCTCAGTCTGATGGTATCGACGTCGCAGTCGGCACTCAGACCCCGGTTCCAGGCACTGAGGGCCTCAACAACCCTGGCGTGGCGAGTGATGACTTTGAACATCAGCCTGACAGCGTAGAACAACAAGTTCAAGCAGTCTACAGCCACGAGTATCAAGAAGATGAAGACGAAGGCCTCGCTCATCGAGATCACAACGCCAATGGGGAGGCTATCGAAGAAGAGTTTCTTAATCATGATCAAGACACACCTGTTGCCTCAGTTGAGCAACAAGACGCCCCAGATATCCTCATGCACAACAGCTCTGAACAAGCACCACAAATCGATGAAAACGACTCCACCTCATTATTCATCCCTGAGAAAGGCCACTCTCCGCTAAGGATCGGTCCCCGACAAACCTCCCTCGTGCCTATGAACCGTCCGTTACTCTCTGCCTCCCATCGCCAGAAGAAGCCTGGTATCTCAATCTACAACGCAATCAAAACCATGCAGAGAAAGAGGCAGGAACAAAAGCTTGTCGCCAGCAGACAGAGTTCGAAATATCATACCAACACCAACCTTGATAACGAGGCATACCTTGAGGCCGTCGTGCAAGGGCAATCCTCATCTATCGCAGCTCCGCCTGTCGATCCCGACGATGTTACAGACAAACAGGCAGCCATAGAATTCGAGAAGCAGAAGCGCTATTATGATGAGATCAAGAGGAAGACTGGCGGTCTTACATTCAAACAAGATGTTGAGTGGATGAAGATCAGAGGTGCTGAAACAGCTAGGAAGAGGAAGCGAGCTCGCGATATCGCGAAAGCACGAGAGGAAAATGAAGACGACCCAGAACTGTTCCCAGAATTCCACCTCCCAACGAACAACGAGCAAGAAGAGGATTCTGAGTACGGTTCCGACCTCGAGGATTCCGAACCCCGTAAGCGTCGCCGACCAATGCCGACGAAAGAAGGGAAGCAAATGACGATGCAGGAAGCTGAACTTCAGAGTATGCGAGTCGCTTTGGAGGCTGAAGGTGACCTACCGCGAAAGAAGAAGGGGAACGCGGTCGACGATACTGTGGAGGCCTTAACACCCACTGGTCCTGGAAAGGGATCCAAAGGAAAACCCACAGGAAAACCCATAAAGGCCAAGTCTGGCCCTAAGAGGCCCCCCAAGAGCCGTGTGAACAAGGCCGCAGGAAAGAAAGCTATAGGCCATGCAGTCAAACAAGCAGCTTCACTTCTCAATGCCAACGTCTTCCAGCAACAAGCTGGCGTAAATGCACCTGAACAGCCTACATTCAGATCGAGAAAAAAGGCAGATGCATTGAAAGAGCTCATCTCTAGCATACCCCTGGAGGATCAGAAGAAAGCAAGGGGCGACATGAATACCTTGCTGACCGCAACGAAAGACTTTGATGGCACGGGTAGTGTCAAGGCAGATGGCAAAGGCTTATGGAAAGTCAAAGGCATGAGCACCTCGCTCAAACCTTACCAGGTACTTGGTTCCGCCTTCATGCGTCGCCGAGAAAACGCGGCGGAAGAGCCAAGGGGCGGCTTAATGGCTGATCAAATGGGACTTGGCAAGACCCTCATGATGATAGGTATGTGTATCGAACAGACTCCATTGAACAGAACTGATTCTTACAGCGAATATGGTAAACGGTCGACCGACCAAGAACGGCAAAGGCCCCAAGACGACTCTGCTTGTTGCAAGTCCTGCACTATTGACACAATGGAAGAGCGAAATCGAATTGCATACCGATGCATCGAAAGTCAGGATAAAGATCATGCGTTACGGCGCTGGTACACGCCTTGATTCGACCAATGCAAACGAGATCCTAGCAGGGCACGACATCATCCTCACTACATATACCGAGATCATGAAGTCGTACCCGAAGAACGAACCGCCCATCCAGTGCCAGACCGCCCAACAGAAGATAGATTGGTGGGAAGAAGTCTTCAGAACGCAGAGGGGTCCATTGCACCGCATGATGTTCTTGCGCGTCGTTCTTGACGAGGCTCAGGCTATCAAGAACCATATGTCGCGAACATCAATCGCCTGCCGGGCTCTTATGGCACATCATAAGTGGGCTCTCAGTGGCACTCCGATTCTGAACAGTTTGGTGGAGCTCTACCCCTACTTCAAGTTCCTTGATGTTCCGCATACTGGCAGCTTCAAGATCTTCAAGCACAACTACTGCGAGGGGAAGAGTGTGGAGAACACTGAGAGATTGCTCGTGCGGCTTTCGCAATTCATGATCCGGCGCACTCATGCGGACGAGATGTTTGGAGCTCCCATACTGAAGCTCCCTCAAGCCGACCAGACGACGTATTGGTGTGAATTCAACTCTGTCGAGAGGAGAATTTACGATATCGTCCGCACGCGTTTCGCCAAGTGCATCAACATGTGGGCGCGGGAGGGTACCCTGGACAAGTCGTACAGCAACGCATTGGTGTGAGTACAAACAACTTTTGCCAGTTTGATCAATGTTGCTAATGTTCTGCAGGATGCTTCTTCGACTTCGTCAACTAACAGCTCACATTCTCATGCTCCAGTTTGTCGTCCGTGATCTGCTCGAGCGCGAAGACATCGAGGCCATCAGAGAGGTGGTCGACAAGGAGGCAGAAGATAGTAGCGAGCGCGGAGGGCATACGATCGCCGCTGTCCGTAAGCAGCTCGATAAAGTTGCGGCTGATCAGAGGAAGAGGACTGCCGCTATTGAAGTCAAGAAGGCTGCCACCAAAGCCAGAAAGACTGCCGCCAAAGCCGCCGCCAAAGCTAGACACGAGGAGTACGTATCAGACAATGACAACGACGACGACGAGCTCTTAGAAGAAGACGCCGATGAGGGCATTAACTGCGAGTCTCTAGAGGGCATTAATCCAGACTTCACCGCGGGTGGTGAGTTCGGCAAGGAGTTCAACTTTAAGCCCTTCTTAAACAGTCTTAAGACTGGAGAGAGCTGGGAAAAGACGAAACAGAAAGCTAAATGCAGCTGCTGTGGTAAACAACCACGACAGCCACAATTGACATCCTGTGGCCATCTGATATGCAGGGAACCTTGCTATGAAGAAATTCTTGTTGAGATGGCTGAGAACGACAACGTCGATGTATTTCCGCCGTGCAAAGCGTGTGGTAAGATCCCCACAGCCATTCACCCCTGCGAGGTCGACGACGATGGCATACCAGATGCACCAGCGCAAGGCACACGAGCCAACACCAAGAAGAAGCAGGATCAGATGCGCAACCGGCAGAAACGCGAAGATATTGCTGACGACTGGCTCGCTTTGGCTGGAGATGACGTTCTACCATCTGCAAAGACGATCGGTAAGTTGTGACTATACGAAACGTACATGGGAGACACACTAATTTGGTACCTCTACATGTGCAGCCGTCAAGAGTCAGATCATGAACTGGCTGAAAGAGAACCCTTACGTCAAGATCATTGTCTATACTCAGTTTCTGCCAATGTGAGTCGACTACCACATTTCCTCTTCGATAAAAATGCTAACAGACATGAGGATCCGCATCTTGGCACGCGTTTTCAGAGGAGAAAACTGGCAGACAGAGCAGGTAAGCACCGATCAGACGGCGACATGGACTTCCATGCCTTGTTTTGACGCTGAAATGATGCCTGAATACCTCCAGGCATAAATTTGGGCCCCAAATTGTTGCCGACTTTTGCTAACGTATCTACCTCACCAGTACTACGGCGGCATGAGTCTGGGCGCTCGTGATAAGGCTATTAGCTCATTCGCTGAAAATCCGGATTGCAAGATTATGCTAGCATCTCTTCGCTGCGGTGGTTGTAAGTATGGCAAATGTCTTCTGCAGCTCAGTTGCTAACTATATCACAGTGGGTCTCAACCTTACTATGGCTTCCAAGGTCATCATGATCGACCCTTGGTGGAACTCGGCCTCTGAACAGCAAGCTTTCTGCCGCGTCTTCCGTATTGGCCAGCGCGAGGAGACGTTTATGAGCCGCCTCTGTGTCAAGAATACGGTCGATGAGCGCCTTATCGCGATGCAAGAGCGCAAGCAGAATGAGATTGCTTCGGTTATGGAGGACGATGGAAAGACGATGAAGAAGTAAGTGATTCTCCGCTCCAAATCTGTTCAAACATGGCTAATGGTGCTGCAGGATGGACACACGCTCGCTGATGCGACTATTTGGTAACCTGGAAGAGGATCCCGATGGCAAGCCGTTTATCATGGTCGATAACCCGGACCCACGCGGCGGCTTCCGGGCTGATCAAGACGATGAGGGTTATGCCGACGACTTCTAGGCTGCTAGGCGACGGGTTGGAAAGTTGCGATACGAGCCATGTCTGGGTGGAGCTGGGAGTTTGGGGCTTGATTTAGGGTGGGCTGGAGGAGTTTGGGGTTTTTTTAGGCTTGCTTCTGGTCGTGGGAATGCATTGGAGGCGTGCCAGGCTCCACCATGGGCGTTTGTTTTGAGGTAAATATCCTATCGAAGAGTGCAACCCGCCAACTTCGTCATTGCTTTATCGCGCCTGGCTGCAGTCATGGACGAACGCGTTCGTCGGCTAAGAGCAAGTCCCCAGATAAGGGCCGAATTGCACCAATAACACGGCAGGCGATAGCAAGGAAGCTCGACGACGCAAGACGGTCGCGCAGTCTCTCTTCACCAGCCCAAAGCGACAGCCGTTCTGATTCGATTGCGCCGGCTTCCCTGTCCTTGGCCAGCCATGTTGAGCGCGCGAGATAGAGGGCGGAAGCACGAGCGATTGACATGTCCAGCGGCCGCTGATTAATGTCGCGCTGCTCGAGGCCCGTCAGAGCGCGCCCCGCCATTCCCCCACATTTTGCTTCTCCGGCCAACCTCCAGGACCTGTTATGGAGAACAACAACACTGCGGAAGCGCAGCCAACTTCCGACGCGCCCGCCAAGAAGGGACGAAGGGGCAAGAGGGATGCGGGAAGCGACGACCCCAAGAAGAGGCGGTGCATCTCTTCCGCCTGTGTTCCGTGCAGGAAGCGCAAGTCCAAGGTATGTTTAGGTAACGGGAATTGGCCCTGATGCCCTTTCTCCGGTCTATACACGCATTCTCCGGATCATCGCCAGCGCCCTCGGAACCACGCGCCTGCCAGCAGTAGAGTCGCTAATCTGAGACATAGTGCGACGGAACCACTCCGGCTTGCTCAGCTTGTGCCGCCGTCTACAACACGCCATGCATCTACGACCCAAACTCGGACCACCGCCGCAAGGGCGTCTACAAGAAGGACATAGACAACCTCAAGACGCGTAACTCGACCCTCCAGACCCTCATCCAGGCCATCCTCAACTACCCAGAAGACGAAGTCGCCCACCTTGTACAGCAAATACGCACCTGCGAGAGCTTGGACTCGGTCGCCGAAGCTATCATTGCAAAGGAGAACGGCGAAGACGACGAGGATGAGCCCATCAGCCCAGTCACCACCCCCATCATGGCCCCGGCCAAGGGCACCTTCGAGAGCCAGCTGAGCGGAAAGATGGGCGAGCTGCGGCTCGAGGATGGATCGACGAGATACATTGGCGGCACATCACATCTCATATACCTGGGCAAAGGCAGCGAAGAGGCCGAGTCGCCAGACACATACTCCGAGGATCAGTACCCGGAAGCCCAGGATCCATTCTGCTCGTGGACCACCGTCACCTCGGACCCGGAGCTCGTACAGCACCTGATTAGCATGTACTTTTGCTGGCACTACAGCTTCTTCACCACCCTGTCCAAAAACCTCTTCCTACAAGAGTTTCAACTAGGCAAACCGCCGCTAGGGTCCGCAAGGAAGACACAATACTGTTCGCCGTTACTCGTCAACGCCATGCTAGCACTGGGCTGTCACTTCACATCCTGGCCTGCAGCCCGAGCTATCCGCGATGACTCTGCAACGGCGGGCGACCACTTCTTCAAAGAAGCCAAACGGCTGATCATGGAGGACGATCTGCACGAGGTGCCAGCTTTGACAACCGTGCAAGCTCTGGCGTTGATGTCTGTACGAGAAGCTGGTTGCGGGCGAGAAGCAAAGGGATGGGTCTACAGCGGCATGTCGTTCCGCATGGCATGCGACCTTGGCCTGAATCTCGGTATGCACAGCAAGGACACAATCGACGACAATGAAGAAGACGCGCGAAGGATCACCTTCTGGGGCTGCTTCCTGTTCGACAAGTGCTGGAGTAACTACATGGGACGATTACCACAACTGCCCAACACGATCCTTACAGTCCCCAAGTTCGAAGTCTTTCCTAGTGAAGATGCGGAAACGTGGAGCGCAGTCACAGACTCTGGTCTCAGTCAAGCACATTCTCAGCCCAGTCGGACTCGTGCGGTCGCGCTTCAGATCTCTAAGCTTTGTGAAATCTCCAGCGACCTAATGAACTCCTTCTATAACCCGACTGATATGGACAAGGTCAAAGGCAGGCAAGCGGAGCTGAAGAAGCTGAGCGAAATACATATGCGTCTAGAGACGTGGAAAAGAGAGTTGCCCAAAGAGTTGGAGCCCAAGGAAGGTGGTTTACCACACATGCTTGTCATGCAGTAAGTACGCCCTGCGCATTGTGCAACAGGGGTCGCACTAACATGGTTGCAGTATGTTCTTTCAATTGCTGTATATCCATCTTTTCCGACCGTTCCTCAAGTACAACCCGAACAACTCCCCATTGCCCGCAACTGTATCACCAAGGAAGCTATGTACACAAGCTGCTGCCATGATCTCAAAGTTACTTCGACTATATAAGCGATCGCATGGCTTGCGCCAGATATGCAACATCTGTGTATATATCGCACACTCGGCATGCACGATACACCTTTTGAATCTACCGGAGAAGAATGCGAAGCGCGATATCATACATGGCGTCAAGCATCTTGAGGAAATAGCTGAAGGCTGGCTCTGTGCTCGCCGGACCCTCGGCATTCTCAGCGTTCTGGCCAATCGTTGGAAAGTCGAGATGCCAGAAGAAGCTGCCACAGTACTGTCCCGGACCGATGCCAAATATGGTCCCTGGAACGAGATCAATACACCTAGAGCAAACCGCCGCGCATCCATTCAGACGAGCAACCATCATCCATCACCGGCGGACCAAGCGTCCCCAAGCCTGCAACCATATAGCATGAATATGACGAACATGGCCACACCCCAGTTCTTCAACCGAGTAACAGCAAACACCAACAGTTCCGTAAGCAATGATCCTTCTGCGCGCCCTTCCAGCACCCACTCTATACCTCCCTCCGACGCAAACGCCCTGGCTTACATGCGCAATCAGCACCAGATCAGCACACCACAAAACTCATCTTCCGCCCTCAATGCACCAACACCAGCGTCTACACAAGGCCGACGTTCCGTCGATGGCGGACAAACGACCGCTGGAAACTCTCCAAGCCAGCTCTTCGGCGGTGTGGACCAGTTACTACGAGAAGGCCAAGATTGGATCTACCGCGATCAGACACAGCTCGCGACTGACTTTGAGAACTGGAACCCACAAGGCATCGATGACATTGCGAACTGGTTTGCCAACACGACCAGCCCAGCAGGTCCGTTCCAGGCCAACACCAACGCGCCTGTCATGAGCAATGAGATGAGTGGAGGACCTGTGGGTGGAAACGCGGTGAATGGTTACACGAATGGAAACGCAAATGGAAATGGAAATGCCAATCCGACTCCAAGTTTAAACGGTTTTGGCGCAGCTGGTTTTAATGGTATGGGAATGCAGGGGTTTACTTATGACGAACAAAGCTGGTATCAATAGGGCAGAGATGGGAAAATATAGGCACCACTGTTGATAAACTACGGGTATGCAAGGCGTCTACAACGGCGTCGGAGTTTTTAGAAATGAACTAATGATACACTTTGTATGCCTCGAAATCAAAAATTAAAGAAATCCTTGACCTTGCGCCATGCTTTTCTCATCCCATGTCGATAAGGATGTCTTCGTTCCCATGCGGTTTGCTTGTTGGCCCTCTGCCGCAGCTGTCTATAGAAATGCATCATCTCCTCTTCTGGTGTCTCAAACGGCGGTGTTCTCGCGAAGAGAGGCTCAAGCTGCCTGTTTGCAATAGCCTCCTCGTCTCGCCCCGTGTCCTCGGGCGTCACCCTCCGTACAGAGATAAGCTGCGCTGTGCTCAACGACGGATCTTCGTCTTCACCGCTGTATGTGACCCGAGAGGAAATGGAGCCGTAGGATGGCTGTGGTGAGTAGGCGGGATGGCCTTCGCGTTCTCCTGGGTAACGTCGTGGACGCAAGTCTGTGGACTCGTCGAGGGGACTAAGACGGTGGGGTTGATACTCAGCGAGTGCGTCTCGGATTCTGACTGGGTTGGGGCGGGAGAAGTTGACGTGAGCAGCGTCCTGTCTAGTTGGAGTCGGAGGAAGTAGAGGGGTTATCGGACGCTCCTCATCAGAACTCGGACGTTCTCCAGCAGGACTTGGGCCCTCTACCAAAGGACTAAGCCTCGCTCTCTGGTTCTCCCTCCTATCAACGGGCACATCGTCTTCTGACACCACACTCCCCGGCTCATCCAAACTTAGCCTTGGTGGTTGTGATAGATTCCACCGCAAATTTGGCGCATTCCTTAGTGATGGTGTCCGCCTTCCTCTGGGTAGACTGAGGACTCTGTGTACTACGTTGTTTTCTTCAACAGTCTGTCGACTACGTGAAGTCGGTGATTCAGGTGCTGTGGTATATGATCCGTTTGAAAGTACTGAAGGCACGCTGCTGTTCGTGGGCGTCGACGGTGCTGCCAATGGAGAAGATGCTGAAGGAGCGGTGTCTGATACTCGAGAAGAGTCCGTTTTTCGTGGTGTGCCAATGGCTGAATCGTGGGACAGGCTTCCGTCTGCACTGAGTCGCTCCATGGCTGAGAATGTTAAAGCTTGTCACAATGAGTGTAAATGTCTTGTTTAACAAATGCGTGTGGATGTTATGTGCGAAAGACACCAATATTGGAACGATGAGAGCCCTTTTAAAAGATGGGCCTTTAGCTCTGTTGTTGTCAATCATCGCAACTACCTAAGATTGCACAGCTGTGCCTCCCTCCACATCTCGGACTGGTTCTTCTGGAAGCGCAACCATGGGCATGTTGCGATTTGGACTTCCTAAAGAATTCTGTACGCCGTCCATAGTCGCTGAGCCATGCCTTCCTCCGCCCTCTATCGACTGCTCAGACGTCAAGGCAGGTACTTCGGCGGATGTGATTCTGGCTTCTTCAACTTTCGCTCGTATACCATCAAGCGCTAATTCGTTGTTTTCGCAAGGATTGCCGCTATTCGATGGCGATGCTTGTCTATCCGAGGGAACATGGTTCGACGATGATCCATGGTTAGAGATTTCGATACTGTTGACTGGTTCCGTGTGGCAAACATGCGATTCGGTGTTCTGCTCTTTTGCAGGCGTGTTTCGCTCAGAAGGCTCTTCACTGTCTGTCTTGGGGGTGCCTCGCTTCTGCCGTGCTCGCGCTATTAGGTCGTCAAATTCGGTTTTGTGTGACTTCGCATACCCATTGCCGTCGAAATCCTTCTTCATTATTTTGCTCTCTTTAGTGCCCGCCTTCCCACCAAGTGTCTGCTCCCACTCATCCAACTCTCTCAAAAGCTGCTTCTTACTCTTCCTCACGCTCTCATCAGCGTCGCAATTCGAGTTGTAGATGTTCAGCCATTCGATGTGTCGCCTCTTCATCAAGTCTTTTGTACCCCAGGTAGGTATGCCAATTTCTTGTAACTTCTTGCGCAGCGCAGTCTCCTTCAACATAGCGTAGTTGAGCTGTGACAATCTCATAGGCGGAGGCGAGGGGTCCTTCTTCCGGATTTGGAAGGCAGGTGGAAAGGCGCTTTTAGTCCTAAAGTAAACCATGGTCAGTCGCATGATCTAGTAACGATGCGTTGTCTTTCAGTACCTTGACCGGGTACTGCGTCCCTGCGAAGCTTCAGGCCCGGTGCATACGTCCAGATGGTTGTAGACCAGCTCCGCCTTCATCGCTTTGTTGCACATTGGGCACCTAGCCATGCCGTCTGGCATGAAATCCTCATCGCCATCATCCTCGCTATCAGCGACGACCATTGGCGATTCACTCCTGTCGTTGTTGCGCTGGCTTCTCGTTCGTGTTTGTCGCGACCGTGTATGCCTGACGTTGTCCCCATCTTCCATATCCGTATCGTCTAGTTTCCTCTTCTTTTTACTAGCTGCTGCAGTCTCTCCTTCTTTGTCTGCACGCGCCAACTCCATAGCCTTTGGTCTCGCCTCCTGGAACCGCATCACCACTTCTCTGACGGCAATGTTGGGCGCCAGTTTGTCGCTGGAACATCCAGTCTTGCAGCTTGGACACTTCCCGTCCGCCGCAATGCATCTTCGTATACATATTGAACAGAAGGTATGACTGCACGACGTGATGACAGGGTTGTTGTAGAATTCCTTGCAGACTTCGCAGCGCAACGCAGCCTCGAGCGGTTCGAACGCGGGTAGGGAAGTCTTGATCCAATCGGTGGAGTCGGGGAGATCGAAGGAAGAGTCCATGGGTCTATCGCAGACAGGAATTACTTGGTATGACAGAGAGTTGACAGACGGGTCCTCTTGGGCTGGACTCCGACGCGCCGGCTTCGATCGCGTCACGTCGACCACGTGACCGCGCTTGGGTTCTGATCGCTTTGTCATCAGCGGAAGTGGGTCGCGATCGGGGAGTTGAGGAAAAGGCTAAAGTAGGTTAGTTCACTTTGCGCCGTTCAGACATTCATGAACTATACGTGGATTTTTGTACGGCTCGCAACTTGGAGGTCCAGTTTGAGCAAATGTTAGTGAGATTGGGTTGAGTGAATAAGGTTTCTGACGAACTGCCTTTGAGACATAGACTTACTTCGTACAAGCACCTCTTGAAGTAAGAGCATTTGTGCATACTCTCAGATACAAGGACAAAGATCGATGATGCATCAGCCTTACTTCCACTCTCGCTCTGCGCAGTCTAAATAGGGTGTACTAGTTACTAGTCTTTGTTGGTATGTGAACTGCTGCGCCCTAGCTAATGCATGCCATCTCTCGATTCGTCCCCCATACACAGCGGGAGCGATACATAAACGCCCAGCTATGCCAATTCCTCTTATGCTAGATTTCGTTTCTTCGTTACTGCAGGGCACAGCCACCCTATCCGATGGCAGAAACAAGCTCTTGTCATTCCAGGGCTAGATCGTTACCTTGTCATTGTGCCTTCCAACACACCTGTTCAGACCTTGAAAACGGTACTCTTGCTCTTGATCCCATCGAATACACATGTGTTGTCGACAGGAACATACTGTTCTGTAATGACCTTGATGATCTCCTGTGAAACGATTCCACCAGTCAAGGCACCGATGTTGTGTAATTCGGCGCCGCCTGCTCGCACACTGTGGTTCTGTTAGCCTACTGTTCCTTCGTATCATGCAGTAGGGGTGTCAAGTATAGCGTTGATAACTTACAGCTCCTGTGCATATTCTCCAACCTGCGACTTGATCGTGTCGAACTCTTCTTCCTCAATAGACGCATTTGCTTCTTTGATGAGATCGTTCGCAATCTTCAAGGCTATCCCTGTGAGCTTCTCTGAGTCTGTTTCGGGGTCGGTCTCGCCAGCAACGCGAGGTGCTCCTCCTGAGCCATCTTGATCGTGTGTCGCAACAAACTCATCCCAAGCTAGGAAAGCAATGTAAAGCGGGATCTGTGAGTCAGGGAATGTGAGCGTTTGGGCTATACAATGTTAGTTGGAACAATGCATGTTTGTCGACTTCATTACCGATTGACTTGGCACGATCACCCCACTTGATCTTTTCGCCTGCTTGTACGACGTGAAATGGCCGCCCGCGCACTAGTTTTATGTGTGCTGCGTTCTTACAGAATGTCTCAATGTCCTTCTCATCGATTTGCGTGCTCCGGTTAGCATTACGCTCCAGGAAGCGGACACTATCTACCACCTCTGCCAGATCCTTTCGTGCTTTTGCCTTGTACACATTCTGCAGCTGAATGTAGTCTGCTGAGCGCGCCTTCATATCGGGTACAGAACCAGGAACTGGGAGGACGTTGTATTTGGTATAGAATAGACCGATAGCGTTGGCAATGACCCAGAAACTTGGGGAGTCGTCGCGGATCAGAAGACACTCTGGCGCCGTGAAAATCTCTTTGACAGAACTGCTCGCTTGCGGTGGGTTCAGCGACTTGAGAACGGCCGCCACTGCTTCGTCAAAGTTCTCTTCGCCACCTTCTGGGTTGTTGGTGTGTGCGGCTTGCGCTACCGACGTTCTGAACTCGGTCTTCTCCTTGTATGTCTGGGGTACTTCGCCGCCGTGGTCTTTCTTCCAACGCTCAAGGAAATGCAGCAGTAGTGCTATCCATGGGACATGTCCGTGATCTTCTGGCTTCATGTTCTCCAAGTCGGCCGTCTTCTCTTCGGCGTACTGTACAAGCTCTGGCCATGGTCTCAATAGCCGGAGATCTGATGTGGTCTCGGGACTGGGATGTGTGTCTACGATGGGGAAGGCAGGAGGCAGGTGTACGGAGAAGTGGGCGTAGAAGCCGACCGAGTGGACGTAGAACAGCGGGAGAAGCGCGGCGCTTGCGTGGTCGGAGAGCTTAGCGAGGATCTCAGGACGGATAGGTGCAGTCGCGAGGACGAGGGTATACGGCCGTAGAGCGTCAGGTTTGGCAAGCCATGACTCTATGGGCTGCTTGGATCAGCGGGTGAGCGGCGGAGAGCATGCTTTGAGGTACCTCTGTGATGAAATGACCATCCACATCTGGGTTGAGTTCCTTAAGAAGATTGCACGTGTGTTCTGCGCGGTACCCTCCCAGGTGCTGGTCTTCTAGGAAGAAGTTGACGCCTAGATCCGCTTCGCTCACAACGGCGGAGTCCTGGATGGTGAAATTGCCGATGCAGGGAAGGACGAGGTTCTTGAGCGTCTCTACGCCAACAACGCCTGGGCCGGAGTTGATGAGCAGGATATGTGACTTCTCGAGTGCGATTTGGCCGGTAGCTCCCCAGAGGCGCAGTTGACGGTCATATCTGGTCTGGTTAGTCGGCAATCGCGCAGGAAGGAAGTGGATGGGACGTCAAGAGACTTACTTCTTTTCCTTGGCAGTCGGGCCCTGGACTGGAGGCGGAAGATGGTCCATTGTCGCGACCAGAGTGTGTTGAAAGTGGGAGGACGGTCGGTGTTTGTCCAAGACCAGTGAGAGCTCAAGCTGCCAGGCACCAAACGCGCTGCCAGCCCGCGCGCTAGCGTTGCATCCCTGTCGCGGGGTATCGGTGCTGGTGGGGCTCACATCGTCATTTTGGCCGATGCTCAATCATCTCGTCACGAGCAAATTGTTCCACCCGTGCCGTCTCGTCGCGATTCTCCGTAAGCATTAGATTATCCTGAGCACTGCAAAATAAGCTGCAATCCGGTTAATGCCGTTGAAGTTGAACCACGTCTGGGTGGCCAATATAAATCAGCAAGCGCGCGGCATCAGTCATCTCACGTCTCGACTGCCCCTCCGACCTCTGCCAAATTCTCGATTACACATACAGCCGTCTAAACCTCGTCTCCTTAGACACGCAACAAACATGACTGACACAACTGTCGAGGCCGCAAAGCGCGCTGCTGCTCACCAAGCAGTAGCGGATCACTTCGACCCTGCAGCCACCCACGTTGGAATTGGCTCTGGAACTACCATTGTATACGTCGTCGAAGCTATCAAGGAGCGCTCCACCAACCCAAACATCCTCTTCGTGCCCACGGGCTACCAATCGCGCCAACTCGTAGTCAACGCCGGCCTAACCGCCATCTCCTTCGACAGTCTCCCCGATCGCGTAATGCTCGATGTCGCTTTCGACGGCGCCGATGAGGTCGATTCGGAGCTCAACTGCATAAAGGGAGGAGGTGCATGCCTGTTTCAGGAAAAGCTTGTCGCCGAGCGGGCCAAAAAGTTCGTGTGTGTCGCAGACTACAGGAAGAGACAAGATCGCCTTTTGACCAACTGGCCAACGATACCGATAGAGGTTGCGCCAATGTCTCAGCTCAAGGTCGCTGCTGCGCTTAGGATGCTTGGTTCAACGGGCCCCAAGCTAAGGACTACGCTACTCGAGAAGTCGGGACCCCTGAAAACGGATCAGGACTTTTACATTATCGATGCGCCCTTCCCCGCCCTGCTCACTTCTGCCGACGTTGCAGCTGGAAAGGGCAAGGGTGATGGAACAGACGGTACGTGGGAGGTCAACACGATTAGCAAGGCCATCAAGGGCCTGACTGGTGTATTGGAGGTTGGCATCTTTTCTGGTTTAAACGGCATCGATGCGCAGCGACTTCGCGAGCAGGATCAATTGACCAAGACCGTACGGGGTGGCCAGAAGCCTGTCGCCGTCTACTTTGGCATGGAGGACGGAAGCGTCAAGATGCGGACAATCGAGGGAGAGAAATAGATTTCAAGTGTGCAACAAGTAAACATGTATCATTCATAGCTGGAAAGCGAACCTCATCCCAAAACAGAGCTCGTGAGCTCGCGATCGCCGTCGCAGAAAGTAACCTTTTCTTCTCTTTTCCTTCCACCGTGCCCAAATCTTCATCTACCATGCAGTAGCAGTCACGTAGACCGTCGTGGTAACAACCTCAACATCCGTTACAGTAACGCACTTCCATCCCTGGGGGCATGACACTTCAGTTGGGGCAGGACCGTTCGCGGACGATGGTCCGACGGTGATGGTAGAGACAGGGACCTTGGAAAGGGTGCTGGGCTTTGTGGGCGCCGGAGGAGCAGCCGAAGCCTCGACGATAGGAGGGCTCTCGTACTGGTCGTCGACTGTAGGCTTGGGCGCAGCAGATACAACCTTGTCAGCCACAGGCATGGGAGTAGCCTTTGCGGGTGTCTCCTTCTTCGCAGAGCTCGTCTTGGGCGCAGCATCCACGATACCACCGCCTACAGTCGCCATGATCTTGCCAACATCGATGCTCTTCTTGACAGGAGTCAGAACCTTGCCCTTGTTAGGAGGGCCGTTGAAGTTCATAGCTGTGCATTGAGCGTTGATGTCCTTGCACTTGTCCTGCCAGATCTTGCAGCCTGCATTGCCAGTTGCAGGGCTAGTGTTGAAGCACACATCGCTCTGGTCCCAGCACTCTTGGGCCGAGGCCCAGCAGCCCTTCTCTGTGTTGTACGACGAAACTTCCTTGCCGCACCAGTTTGCGTTCTCCATAATGCAGCCCTCGGGCTTCAACCCATCGGCTTGGGTGGTCGACGCTTTTTGCGTACCGCCAGCTGTGAGCTTGGCGACCTTGGGGCCAGGGACAACGTACTTGCTGCCGGGAGTGTTGTAGATGTCGAAGTCGGTAGACGGCTGACCATACTTTACGTAGCCAGGGATGGAGACAGTGCTCTCCGGGACAAGGTTTCCGCTGCTCTCAAGGAAGATCTGTGCGCACCCAGTGTAAAACTGAGGATCATTGTCATTTGCGGCGTGGAGAGCAAGGATCTCGGGGCGGGCAAGGTAGTCACCTCCCTCAAGGCCCTTGGGGAGGTTCACATTCAATAGACCATTGTTGTCAATGATCTCGTCGGTGCACCAGCGGTCGGTAGACGCGTCGTAACCATGGTCGAAGATCTTGAACCAGCCATCACCAGCAGCCTTGTCGGTGCTAGCATCTGCGACCTTCTTCAAGTAAACGGCACAGGGACCCTTGTGGCCGCGGTCAAGACGCTCCTTGGTAGGGTCATTGGGCCACGAACGGATCTCAAACGTAAGGAGGGCGCCATCCTTGACAGGCTGAACGCGGGAGACTCCCTTGGTACCACCGACATCTAAGAGTGATCATTAGCATCGCGTCTAAAACAGTCGTGTAAAGCAAACGTACTGCAGGCCATGTCGTCGCTATCGAGGCTGGCAATGGGACTGCTGGCTTTCGCAGCATTGGGGTTCATGCGGATGGCAACACCATCACCCTGGTTCTTCTTAGCATGTACCATGTATGGAATGACTGGCAAAACAAACCTGAGGCACGCCGTCGACGAAGAAATCGGTGAAAACAGTGTGGGCAAGGGCAGCAGGGGCCGAGGCCAGAGCGGCGAGAAGCACAGATTGAGTCTTCATTGTGGCTGGTGTTCGATTGCGGTTGGCAGTAAAAGAATTGCGGTTGTATCTTTTGGTAGGATATCTGTGATAGTATGACACACGAACGAGGACGGTTGGTCACTAGGACTCAATGTGCAGAAGAATGAATGAATAGGCCGGCTAGCGACACAGAATGAATGGAATGAGCAGCAAAGCGCCCTGGAAGGAGAGACGGAAAGTTGGGTTTTGAAGAGAATATCCTTGTGTGGTCAAAGGTGAAGAAGAAAGGTCAGTTCGAGCGCGGCGGCTCGTAGCTTTTGATTCAGACGAGCTCCGCCTAGACCAGTGGTGCACATCCCCCGTATCATCATCACACCTGACTCCTGCAGACATGAATATCCCTGGGTTGTGCATCCGCTTTGCCGCCGCTACGGATTTCCTTCCTTGCAACAGATCGCAGGGCGTTCGAGCCCGCTGTTCTGTTTCCTAGCAGTAACGCTGGGTTCCGAAGACGCAGTCAGCCTCAGGCACTATCGGCCAATCAACGCACAGGTGAGGTTGTACCGCTGAAACATGAAACACAACCAGACTATTTTAGCGAGCATCTAGTCGGAATTTTGGCAAGCTTACCCGCTAGAAGGCGCTCTCTCAGACGACACTAACTCAGGTACCGCGCCTTCATTAAACAATTTTTGCGCCGTCGCGGGTCGATCTCGTCATCGGCCATGTGCAGATGAAGACGCAGTAGAACGTTAGAAGCGGGGTTATCGATACAGACTACCGTTACCAGGAGCGAGCCCGACCACTCCTTTCCTAGGCGCTACGCATCGTCGAACATGGTGAGTTCTGTGAACTTTGGTTCAGGAGGCAGCTTGTGACGTTGGCGGATTAGGCTGACAGTCATTTCGCGAACCATCCACATTGCAAATCTCGGCCTGGTGCCAAGAGTACCCGCCGCTTCTCCTGGGGTTACATAGGATGCCAAATTGCGGCGAGGTTCTACCCGTAGAGCGTTGGCACGGCAAAACACAATTTGGTTGTTAGATGCAAACTATGAAAACAGACGTTTCATGTTCTCGTCAGGCATGAGGGCGTGCAGTCGTGAAGATATGTGTCTTTTCTTCTCGGAATTGTGCGCATATGGGTTCCTGCAGCTAGCTGCCCGTGAAATTATGGGTTGTGCCACTGAGCTGCCCCAATAGCTGCCATCACTTCCCAAGTCTCGCAGGACTACCCTGGGGCTGGGAACCAACCTTGTTGTTGGTTCCCAGAAAGGAAAACAAAACAACACATTAGAGCTGTCCGGGTAGCCCTGGCACATCACGACCTCGAACGTTGGCAGGCCCCAACCTCTCCTTTTAAAAACGCATTGGCCATACCCGACTGCCAAGGTGAAAAGATGTAGTGGAGGAAGCTCTCGCGGAAAACACCGGGCTGGTGCTTATGCTGCAGTATCAAGCAGCAGAGTTATGAGCGTGTTGTTGACGGCTACAATCCCCAAATTGTCCGATATCCGGTACTGGAAAGAAGACAACCACCGCAACTCAACCGTACGATGGCCTTTTGAGAAGCGGCGACACATGGGGAACCTGTGCATACACATCCATACTCTCGTGCTGAACGTCTTGCGTTGACCCTGGAGGGGCCGCCTTTGCCTCCGCTCTCTCCATAATACCCTTGATGATGTTCCTGAAGTCGGTCGTGTCTCGGAAGCTCTGTGCCAAGTCTTGTGTTACCGCGTTGAACCTTCGTGTAGCCCACTTTACATCCGAGACCTTGATCCCATAAACATGACGGAATGGAAGCTTGCTGAAGCAGATTTCAACACCTTCAGAGAATACCACACCTTGACGCTGCTGATTGAGGCAGCATACAATTGAAGGCTCATATCCGTGTTCAGCGTGCTCGATCCCAATCTCGCGGAGGCCTTGTTTCACAGCTTCTATCAACCATCGATTGCCTCTTTTGGTCAGAAAGTGTAGTTTTTTGGAGTCTCCTAGTGTGTTGGTTGGTAGTTCACGCTCAGACAAGGGCCTGCCAATGTAATTTGCCAGTCGTACAGTGTTCATATAGCGGTCCAATTGAACAGCGTCTGTAGGACAGAAAAGAGGATCCCAGGGCAGTGGCCATGTGCTCAGTGAAACCAGAGGTCCCAAGAGAAACCTTTCTGAAATCGTGAGAGCGTACTTTGGCCGAGGCCCTATAGTAAATGACGGACGCCTACTTGGATGCGGTGACATTGCACCATATCTACCAGATCCCGCCGTCTCGTAAATATTGTTCTTGACTGACATCATCAGATTGCTCTTTTCAACAACGTTTGTAGATGCGAAGATATTGGTTGGGTCCATATTGAGCTTGAGAGAATCCTCAATCCTCTTAAACACCCATAGCCAGTGGTCGACAAGTCTTATTTCGGCAGCCACCCGTTGAGTACGGTCGGGTGCTACACCGAAGCGGCCAAGAGACCCTTCATAAGCCACACTGTACGCGAGAGCGGCGTTCGTATGCTCCTGGGTGTGCAGACATACGTCGCCTAGCCACCGCGCGGCAGCTATATCACCATCGTCCAGATTCTGGCGATTGAGGTAAATTCCATTAAACACACTTTCGAACAAGCGTTTTGCTTTGGTGAACTTCCCGGTATAAGAAGCGCAGACTCCAAGTAAATGCCTGAGAATGCGTCGATCAGGCTGAACTCCAGACACGCATGTATGTCCACGTTCGACTGCCGTAAGTTGGTCTTCGAGGAGCCTCTCTGCCGTGATGAAGTCATTCTGAGCCCATGCAGCCACTATCCGGTGTGCCGTCCATTCAAGATCTATTGTGATCGTTGTGTCTTTCTCATAATACGATGGAGGTGCAACGGATGGTTCTGTTATATTCGTAACCGAAGGCAGAGGTGGAGGGGGACTGGTCGGATGCACAGGCGCTATTATGGGGGGATTGTACGCCGGTACAACAGGAATCGGGGCGCTTAGAGATGGGACTGGGATGCGTTTCATCACGGAATCTGCGGGAGTAGCAGGCAAAGACGATGGTCGTGGCTCTGCATACAGCGATGAGGCTTCCGATCCAGAGCGCCGCGAGGGTGTTTGCAAGGAGGTGCTAGAATACGCCAGGGGGGTGGCTGAAGGAGCCAGGTATACGGACTCTTTTTGTGTTATCAGTGGACTTGATACAGGAGTGTGCTCTATAGATGCAGCTGGTGAGCCTCGGTCCGAAGGTGTGATCATCGTTGGTACGTCGAAACTATGCAATCGTTGTTCAAATCCGAATTCAGGAAGAGCTGTCCCAAGATCTTGCTGCATAGTTTCAAAGAAGTCGTCACCTGGCCGCTCTTCCAAGAGCCTCCCTTCGTTGACAGCCTTGACAAGCCAGTCTACAATGAGATCTCGGTAGCTCACAGCCTGCTGTTGAGAGACTCCCACATCTTCAAGATCGCGGAGAATCTGACTCCACGATTCCTCGTCATCCTTGTCATTATCCAGGATACCCGCAGACGTGAGCCTCCCGATGGAAGCAATGCTTTCTTCGCGGTAACCGCCTTTGTAGTCCTTCTCCAACCTCTCCAGGGCTTCCAATATAAGAACCTGGCTGTCGTGTATCAAGGTCGTATAAAAGCTGTTAAGCATCGACACGCTCGCGATGAGACGCTCTCGTAGGTTTCGTGTGATTTCTGGATCGTACTTGAGGCGGTCCCATGCGCGCTTGCTCTTCGTGTCGAGCCCGTTGTAACGCAAGACAAGCTTATCTAGCTCTTCGAGTACTTCGATACATGGCTCGTATGCATTGATAAGCTGCTGTTGCTTGTTCTCGGGTATCTTGTCATACTTGTCTTGTATGTCCTCGAGTAGGTTCGATAGCGCTCGGGCTTGCGACGTAAGAGCTTTGTATTCGCCCGAGCAGTCGCGACCTGTCTTGAGTTTAGCTTGCTGGGAGCTACGGTGTGGGGCAACACGGACAGTTCTTGTAGACTCTACCAGCTATCTCGCATAGCTTGAGAATATCTCCAATACTGATACCGAAACTCATCCTCTTGGCCAGTGGAGTGATTGGGCTCCCAAACCGTTACGGCGCATCCCAAAGTCAGTAGCCATTCCACGTATCGCATGACGGATATGTACGGCTGGAAGCTTGGTCATGTGTTCGGAAGGGATTACTGAATTGGAAGTTGGGGGCGGGAAGGAGCTCAATTCGCCCAGAACATTGTGATAGCCCCTGCAGATAGATAAGTCGCGGAAACAACACAATGTGCACGGCTTTATTTCTTCCTTGTTTGTGTTGCTCCGTTCAGCCACTTGTATATAGTTGTGATATTGCATTGCATGCCTCAGATGCTAAATGATGGGTCCGGGGGATGCTGACGTCACATGACCTTGCGACTCGCGATGGACCTCGGACGGCGTGCTAGAGCGAATGAGGCTTAGTTCAAACGTTCCCCAACATTGTCAGGTATTGCTCCGCGGGAACATGAATGGCAGTACGACCGAACAGCAGCTATCGTGCTCACTTTGCGTTCTTTAATCGGACAGCATATAAGGCAGCTGTCGAAACCGACGTAGTAAATGAGACAGATGGAGGTTCCAAAGTCTACAAAGACTACATGTCTGTATCGAACCTCTCAACATGAAATAGGTGCATAATTGAGAACACAAGCAGTCTCGGGAAGGTGTGCAATGAAAGATGGATATATAGCTATCTGCAAGGTGTTCAACCCAGATTGAACTCGCTCGCCATACCCGCATGACGCATAAACTTCTCCCTCGCACGAACCGCCTTCCTCATCTTCGCCGCCTCATCTGTGTCTTGACCCTCGGGGAGATCCAAGTCCACAACCGCCCTCTTCGACGCACCAGTATCAGCTTTGCGACTGGCAAGGTCCACCTTCGGACCACCACGTACCCTAGCAGGGGTCTTGTCATTACGTCCGGCACCTGTTCGTTGTCCTGGAATCTTCATTCCAGAGGGCCGCTCGCGGAGTGCGAAGGCCTTGGCCAGATGGCCTAGGTGGAGCGACTTGATGTCGAAATATTGACGTTCGTCAGCAACGTGAGTTGCGTACGCACGAATGTGGCTCTGGAAAGCTCTTCGGGCGGCTTCGAGGCGAGCAGGTGAGGCTAGGGCCCAGCGCTCGACGGCGAGCTGTAGGTCGGTAGCTTTATCCATGTAGGCGTTCTTCTCCATTACTCCGCTGGTTACCAAGCCTCGGTTGAGGATATCGTCGGCGTCTTGACGTGAAATGTGAACTCCACCTTCGGTGTCTTTCCTGTCCGACTTGAGAATATCGACGTAGCCTTCTTCAGTTCCGGGCATCAAGAAGATACAAGCTCGTCCGTCGCGACCCGCACGCGCCGTACGACCGATACGATGCAAATGGTCCTCTCTGGCGAAAGCAGGATCAAATTCAATAACCAAGTCGACGTTCGGCAGGTCGAGACCGCGAGATGCGACGTCGGTAGCAATCAAGACAGACGGCTCCTTGTTCTTCGTGAACTGAGCGAGTGTCGATGTTCGCACGGATTGTTGAAGTGAACCGTGGAGACGGTATGCTGTTACTGTATGCGTCTTTGCAGAGAGTACAGGTGACTCTGCACCTGTTACTGTGAGCTTGGTTGGGTCTGATTGTGCTATCGCTTTGGTGTTCTTTGGCTTCTTCTCCACGCCGTCAACTGCCTCCTCAGCCTTCTCCTCCTCTTCGTCTGTGCTTTCCTTCTTCTTCGTCTCGGTGACGCCTTCAATTTCACTGGTGAGCATGTCAAAGTGGAAGTCGACAGAGTCAGCACACGAGATGAAGACGATGGCCTTCATGACGGATCCCTTTCGTGCAAAAGCCCGCTTCAAGTAGGCTATCAAAGATACCAATCGGAGCTTCGGTGCCACCACTGCGTAGGACTGCTTCAGTTGCGCCGGTGCAAAGAAAGATTGATCGTCTTTGGCCTCGACCGTTTCCTGTCCCTTTTCTGACGGATCGGCTCGAATGTGTACTGCGTCTTTCAAACTTATCTGTCCAAGCCTCTCCACGTCCATTTTCATAGTCGCGGAACAGAGCACTGTTGTACGCTTCTCCGGCAGCCCAGGTATCCTCGAATTCTCATCTTTTCTTGCGCGCATTCGCAAATTCAATGCCCCGACAATCTTCTGAATTTCCTGCTCAAAACCAAGCTCCATCAGGCGATCGCCTTCATCCAGGACAAGCCATCTGACATTGCTCACGTCCAACGCTTCTGTGTGCTCCAGGTGATCGACCAACCGACCGGGTGTCGCGACCAAGATATTGATGCCCTTGCGTAACCGTGCCTTTTCAGACTTTTTCTTCTCACCACCAATGACGGTGGTGGCTACAAGCCAATGCGCACAACCTAAGATCTTCTCTAGTACAGTCGCAATTTGCTTGCTCAGCTCGCGTGTCGGTGCCATGATGATGGCAAAGAGACCGGAATTCCTCTGTACGTTGTCGTCGACTTTCTGCTTTCTCATGTTGGCGGAAAGTTCCATGAGTCTTTGCACAATCGGTAGGAGGTATGCCAGTGTTTTTCCAGAACCAGTCTCGGCCTGTATGAAAGCATCTGAATCGTCTTTGACGAGCTGTGTTATCGCAGCCTTTTGGATCGCAGTGGGCGCCTTCAACCCCATCTTGTTCAACAGGTGCGTCGCAAGCGTCGTGGACATGCCGAGGGATGTAAAGGTGTCCAGCTCGCTGCTGAGTGGGGCGTTTGAAGGTTCGATAGGCGCATCGTCTTCGCGGCGTTCGTTCGCTTCTGGCTTCGTCTTGGATGTCGGATTGTAGGTAAACAGCGAGGAAATGACCTGCTTTCCACCCTTGGGCGCACTCTGCTGTTCACTTGGTCTCTTGGCGGGGTTTGGGTTCGGGTTCGGATTCGATTGCGGTCTGAAATCGGCATTGTCTGTCTTCTCGGTTGTCCTTGGCCTAAAGTCTCCGCTCACACGCGCTCGCTTTACGGGCCTGTCGCCGGAATCGTGAAATTCGGGGCTCTTGGACACGCGTGCCTTCCTTGGGCCCAGTTCTATGCGGTTCACGTTTGTCGCATTCTCGACCGTCTTCTTGGGTACTGCCTCGCCGTTCAGTCGCGCTGTAGCCTTGGTGTGCCAGTTCTGTGCCGCCTTCTTCGCAGTGAGCCGGCTCTTCCAGTTGCCGCCTTTGAAGGTCGGTTTCGCGATAATGCCGCTGTCTGGTATGGAGAAGTTGAGGAGCATGCCATCGTCGGCCATCTTGTGCTATGTCGTCGCGTATGGGCGTGAATAAGGCGGGGTGTTGTTGCGTAAGAGAGGGAAATCTCGAACCTGGGATCTTTTTAGTGGGGCACTAGGCTCAGATGGGCGTTCCCTCCCATGATGGGACCTTCAGCGCAGAAACGAGTCGTCTTGACCTTTCTCAACTTGATCACCATGGCTGCCTTTTCGCTGACTCTTTGCGCTCTGTCCCCTCACAAGCTGCGAGGGACAAATCGTCGCATCTTCCCCGTTTTTGCGCGACTCCACAACTAAGGCAGAGCTCAGTCCGCGACACCTCCGCAACTCTCCGCAATGGCATCACTCCGTTACGCAGCCGGTGAGTGCGCTCCTCGACGCACGCCATTGAACCAAACAACTAACACTACGCAGTACCGATAGCGCGACGATGCGTGTCAAGGGGCTTTTCGCGTGCATTGCGAGTTCCTGCGAGCCACGGCATTCGGTGTCTGTCCACGAGCCCATCACTGCGTAATGCCTCGCCCTCCGCAGCCCAAACGCACATCTTCCGCGATGTCGCGCCTTTACGAGACTACCGCCGACATCTCCGCTCCGACAATCGTACAGTTGGCCTTGTCCCAACCATGGGTGCCCTGCACGAGGGCCATGTCTCGCTCATGCGTCACGCAGCCGCTGAGAATACCGATGTCTTCGTTACCATCTACGTGAATCCTACACAATTCGGACTGAATGAGGATCTCGCGTCCTACCCGAAGACCTGGGAGGCGGACATGCAAGTGTTGGAAGACTTGAACCAGGAACTGGCGACTGCAAACCAGGGACGCGTGACAGCTGTCTTCGCACCAACCACAAAGACCATGTACCCTACACTGCCACCCGACAGCAGCATACCAGGTGTAGGGAGCTTCATTGAGATGCGTCCACTTGGCCAGCTATTAGAGGGCGCGTCAAGACCTGTTTTCTTCCGCGGCGTAGCAACTGTATGCATGAAGCTCTTCAACATCTGCGCCCCAGATCGCGTCTACTTTGGGCAGAAAGATGTCCAGCAAACCCGCGTTATCAAGCGACTGATTCAAGACTTTCACTTGGACACGAGCCTGCGCATCATCCCGACGTCCAGGGAATCAGACGGACTTGCACTATCTTCACGCAATGTCTATCTCGGCGCACGACGTCGCAGTGTTGGCATCGTTCTCAACCAAGCGCTTCGCAAAGCAGAGCTACAGTACAAGAATGGTATGAGGCTGCGGAACGACGTCCTCTGGCCTGCATTCGACCACGGCAATATGACACTGCTTGAGCAAGAGCACATGGAACCTAGCAAACGCGCCAAGTTTGAGGTTGACTATATTAGTCTTGCAGACCCTGACACCATGGAGGAGATTGATCAGATTGACGATTCGAGAGGCGCCATTCTCAGTGGTGCGGTAAAAATGCTCCCGGTCGAAGATCCGCAAGACGGTGAGGATTTAGGTCAGTTGGATGCTGAAGGTCGCCAGGTACCTGTGCGCTTGATCGACAATCTGATTCTAAATCCAATGAGATAGACTAGTCTCATCAATATGCCTGGTTATGAATAAAATCTAGATATCAAACTTGGAGTACGAGAATCCGCCGTGGTTGTGGAGGCAGGACACTGTGTACAATTCAATCGGATGTTATAACACCACTGAACTGTTCCTGTCCCGTCCTATCATGACGTGTTGACATACGTCTCTTGCATCTAGATTCCGTGGAGACTCTTTGATCGCCATCATTGTTGCTTTGCTCGATTACATGAGTACGAATGTCATGGCCACCTAGGCTGCGACCCTTTGTTA